GATTAGCACCAAAAATCTGTAAGCCGCTCAGAGACCCCTAGACAAGGGGTTCGAGCGGGATATCAAATGAATGTATAAATAAATAAATAAATAAATAAATAAGGTCAAAGAAGACAGAGACGGCAAAGGATGAGATGGTTAGACAGTGTTATTGAGACAACGAACATGAAATTAAGCAAACTCCAGAGCACGGCAGAAGGTAGGAGGGCCTGGCGTGATGTGGTACATGGGTTTGTGAAGAGCTGGGACTCGACTATGCGACTGAACAACAACAACAATACTCCATACATAGATTTATTCAGTGCCTAACTAGGATCTGAGTGATTTGCCTTGCTCAGGGGAGAAGAAAGGGAAGAGTCTCTTGTTGTGGCTCTGAAGCTGGAGGATGTACTCTCCCTCATCTTCAGAGAGGTAATGAAAAGTTTCACTGCAGTCAACGATTGCGAACTCCAGGTTGGAAAATTCTCAAAGATTTTTTTTTGGGGGGGGGAGTTGGAGAGGGACCTCAGTAGGGTATAATTCCATAGACTTCACCCTCCAAGAGAGTCCTTTTCTTCAGGGGAACTGAGCTCTGTAGTCTGTAGTTCAGTTGTAAATTTGGGGAACTTCCAGGTCCCACCAACCTACACGAAGTCTGACACAGGCCAAAAACAAAAGTCTGCATTTGAAAACTTCACTGTAATGTATTACACTTAAGCATATTATATTCTTATAGCCACCCATGGCCCCCATCTGTGGATAGCTAAATCCACAGATCAGGGCCACGTGGAGGCTGAAGAGATTTTTTCTACAAGCTTGGGACACTCCCCAGGTTTGCCAAAAAAATCTGACTTAAAAAAAACACACCAGTGTGTGTGGGGGGGTTAATTTCCTCCCAAATAAATAGTTCTCTGTGCAAGTGCAGAGAATGCACCTACCTAATGGGGACTGAAAGGTCAGGAACCACGCTGGATTCAGCATCAGAGGCATAGTCCCCCGGGAGCTGCACTGCGCCTGACAGTGGTGCAGCAGCTTTGAAGCTGTGCTTTGCCCAATGCGGCAGCCTGGGAGCTGTGTTGGGCCTGGCAGCGGTGAAACAGCCCAAAAGTTGTTATGGCCTGTAACAGGTTATGGCCTGCAACAATGCAATAACCTAGAAGCTGCTCTGGGCCCAGCAGCAGTATTGCATGGTAGCCCAGAAGATGCAGCAGATACAAGGGGGGATGGGATTCCCCCTCCTGTGATTTCTGCTGCCTGCCTAGCAAGCCACCAGCCTACTGTTGGCTTGCTGGAAGGTAGGTGGGGAGAGCAGCAAGGTGTGGGGGGTGAATGGAAGGGTGGGGGGTGCCAAGAGTGGGGTGTAGGTGAGAAAAAAAAAACAAAGGTGTGGGGTGAGTGAATGCCAAGGGTGGGGTCGGTGGGAAGATAGGAGGCAGGTTATCAAAGAGAAAGGTAGACTGACAGAGAAGGGCTGGGGGCAAAAGAGATGTGGGTAGCTTGACAGATAAGGGAAAGGGGGAAGATTGTTAGAGAAGGAGAAAGAGGGTAGAAAGCAAAGAGGGGGAAGGGATGCAACCTCTCCAGAAGGGACCACAAGGGACCTAAGGGACTGCCTCTTCCCATATATGCCTCGGAGAGCGTTACACTCTGAGAGTCAACATCTGGTGATCCCTGGCCCAAAGGACGTCCGCCTAGCCTCAACCAGGGCCAGGGCTTTTTCTGCCCTGACCCCTACCTGGTGGAACATGCTCCCTATTGAGATCAGGGCCCTGCAGGATCTTATGCAATTCCGCAGGGCCTCCAAGATGGCGCTGTTCCACCAGGCCTTTGGCTGAGGCAGCGGGCGTCCACATATCCCCCCCCCCCGTGAGGTTGCGATCTCCCACCTACTGATAACTGGCCATACCTGGTTACATCAATGGGCCGGATTCTCCCTACGGCAAGCATGACTACCAATTTTATATGTTTTATAGATGTTTTAATGTGTTTTAAATGTTATTGTATTTATTAAAATGTTGTAACCCGCCCTGAGCCTGTTTACGGGATGGGCAGGAAATAAATGCAAAAAAATAAAATAAAATAATAGTTCTTGCAGGTCCCCACTTGTATATAGTCAAAACACAGAGGAATACATACTCCACTATTTCACTGATGAAAATAAGGCCATGTTTGTAACACCCATATTTTTATAACTATGATCGCTGGCTATGCCAATCGTTCCATTATTATTCATTGCCCATCATTGTACTTGGCCTGCTGTATGCGGTACTAGTTTATGATGTCCTTTACTGAATTAAAAGGTTAGATAGTGAGTGTTCTAATTGTACAACAGCCATGCAAAACAGTAGGCTGTGCACTGGTATGCACAGTCATGCACTAGACACAAGATTTATCTGTACCCCAAATAAGCCATTCCCCAAAGGCAAAAATAGGGACAGTGATGCATCTGGGAGAGGTACTAGAAAATTAGAGATGTCCCAGTGCAAGAGAGGAGAGTTTGTGCCAATGACATTTTTGTTGTTGTTGTTAACAAATCAAATAACAGAATAAACAAAATAAATCAGTACCACAAGACTCAGAGGTTTCCAACTCTTGGCTTGGAAATTTTTTAGAGATTTGGGGTCAGTATCTGGGGAGAATGGGCTTTGGGAAAGGAGCGCAGTAGGGATGCAATGCCATAGAGTCCACCTTCCAAAGCTGCTATTTCCTCCAGGGAAACTGATCTCTGTAGTGTGGAGATCAGCTATACTTCTGAGAACTCCAGGCCCCACCTGGAGGTTGGAAACCCTACTCAGAAATGCCTTTATAGAGAAAAGACTCCGTTTTTGTGGAAGGGGGATTTTTGTTTTCCTTTCCAAACATGGACGCTCCCTTGGTTTAGTGAATGAGAATTGTGTCTTAAGAAAAAGAAAGATCTAATGCAAAGGAAATATTCTCTCCCCCCCCCCCCCTAATATTTTTGATTCAAACAGGAATGTGTCTCCTTGGTACATGGACATCCAACAGGATGTGCCTTTTGCAATCCAGATGAATATCACTAAGTCACTAAAAATCAACTGAATCAACTGCAGTCCATGGCAAAACTGTGAGAAATTCCATTTATTTACTCCATTATATATTCTGCTCCTCCCACTGAGACTCAAAATGAATTACAAACTTTAAAACAATGCAAAAAAATATCCCAGTATAATGCATACAATAAACAAAGCTTAATTCTTTTAGACATCGAAGCTACAGCCCTATTGCCATTATAAAAAAACTATTTAAAAAATCAAATACATGATATTTTGCACTCCTTTTGTTACTTACGTATACATTCTGGCTGAATCCCACTCCATGTAAGATCGGGAAGGCAAGTGCGAGTTGTGGAGCCCTGAAGGAGGTATCCTTTCTTACACTGGAACTGTATGACATTTCCTACCTAGGGAAACATGAATAGTAAACCAGTTTGACCAAAAGGGAGTAAAAGTTCTGGCTGCACCTACACCTACATTTGTATTGATTTTTAATCTCTGATTTTTTTTAAAAAAAATTACATCCTGCCACATGAAGGGGATCCATAAACAACGGTATATAACAGCATTAAGACAGGAACATCTACAGTTCTTTGGAAAACCATGTTTCCACCAAAAATGAAACTAGCACACATTCCGTTTTCATTTGAATCTTTTTTCAGATGTAGATTTCTGGGAGACGGAACAGTGTTGGAGGGGTGCAGGATTATGGTGGTAGGCCCTACCCCAATCTGCACTCATTTAGTATATTTTGTGAACAGATCCTACCCCTGTGCTTTTTCTCAGTACATTTAAGCTTCACATGATCAGGGTCTGTTTTCACAAAATACTGCACTAGGTTTGCCAGGCCTCCCACTATACTGGGTGGTCTCCCACTGGCATGCTTCATTGCCCACCACTGCTCAGAGTGGCGGTGGAAGAAGAATAAAAAAGGAACTTCACTGACATCACTACATCATTTCTGGGTATAACTGAAAAGTGAGAAAGAGTGGCTCTAAGAGTCACCAGAAACTCTATGGTAAAACCATAGAGTAACCAGTGATTCCTAGAGCTACCCATTGTCACTTTGAGGTACAACCCAATGTTGTGGCATCGGCAACATCGCACCCTTCTCCATGTCCCTGCGCCCAGCCCTTCTGCCGGTTGCCAGGCTCAGCCTGACAACCCTATACTGCACAGAACTGGCCATGGTGACCCCTTCTCCACTACATAAATTCTACGAAACGCCTTCTTTTGTGATGCCAGATCTCTGTAAATGCCTCCTGACATCCCCATGACTGGCAACAATTTTGATGAGCTTTCAAGCACTGAGTTAAAGCATTTCTATATTCCCAAGCATCTGCAGACTGCTAGTGGAGGGTTTTATGTAAGAATTTCCTCAGTGTGGCCATTTCTACCAGAAAAAACCCAGTTTTTATTTTGCTTCTTGGTGGGAGTCAAACCCATAATTTTATATTTCCATACCACTGTTTGTTTCCCACCACTGATTTTTTTTAAATGTGCATTTTCCGCATTCTACATAAATAAAACAGCATTATACACATTTTGCATGTACAGATAATATACATTTTCATATAAATACCATCTTAAAAATATACAACACACATACACTGTAAACCAATCTGCAAAGCCAACAGTGCAAACTTAAGACAAAAGTATAAACAAATAAGCAGGGGACCTACAAGGACTTGCAGGGGCATCTCATTTTCTCCTCCCTCTCTTTCCATTCTCAGGCAGCACCCATAGCCTCTCAGCCTTTCCTGCTTCCTTTTCTCATTCCCATCCACCAGCCAGCCTACTTTTATCTTTCCACTCTTGCCCCCACATCCTCAGCTTTCCCTCCTTCCCTACCCCTAGGAGCCTCTCCCGGGTGGGGGGGAATGGGTAAGTTGCACATTGGCCACCAGTGCTAGACTGAGCCCAGTGCACCTAGGAACATTCCTTTATCTGCCTCCATATCTTCAGCTTTCCCCCCTTCCTTAATTCTAACAGCCTCTCCCTATGAAAATTCTGGCTGGTCTAGGTGGCGACTGGAGCTAGGCCAGTTTGCATAGTGACTGGGCTAGGGTTGCCAAGTCCCCCCGGGGGGCAGGGAAACCCCTGCCTGAGAGGCCCATTCCCTGCCGGCGGGGATTGGCCCACTGGGGGGACTCCACCCCCAAAGCGCGTGACGTGCCCGGCAAGAACACGTCACCCGGAGGTAACGCAATTGTGTTGGGCATGTTGCGGGGGGGGGCACTCTATCATGCGAGGGAAAATTTTATGTTTTCCCTTGAATGATTGTGGCCCCACCCCAATGTGCCCAACACGATTGCATCACTTCTGGGTGACGTGATTGCGGCAAGCGCGCTTTGCGCACGCACCAGGAGACTCCCAGGGATGTCCCGGACTCCCCCCACTATTATGAACACAGGACTTGGCAACTCTAGGCTGAGCCCAGCTGTGCAGTGGCCAGGCCCAGTTGCATGGCAGCTGCTGCCAGGCTGGGCTCAGTTGCATGGTGGCTGTTGCTGACAGACTGAATTGTGTGTGTGGTGAGTTTCTGGTAGCCTGTTCCTTTTAGGTCTTTCTTAGGGTTGCCAAATGCATTTTGGCCGGGAGCAGGGGGTTCCCGGCCGGTGTCTAATTCGTGCTCTTTGTTTTCCCCTCAAATGGCGTGGCCCTGTCCCCAGCGTGCGACGTCACTTCCGGGTGACGCATGCGCGGGGGTGGGGTTTTCCCTGGGCCCGATTCCACGCGGAGCGGAAGTCGGACCTTGAAAGCGGGGGGAAATCCGCCCCCGGGGGGATTTGGGAACCCTAGTCTTTCTCCATCAGGGGACATGACACTGGAGGACTTTTTAAACCTCCCAGTCCATTCCTGATTCCTCCACCCTCCACTTTGCTCTACAGAAACAGAGTCTTGGCACTATTGTTGTGGCTGCCTAACAACCTCCAACAGGCACTGACAATTCAGTGACCATTTTCCCCTTAAACCTACAGGCATTATTTCTATTATTTTGGGGGGAAATAATCCCCTGATTTATTTATTTTTAGATTTCAGATCTTTCTTACAGCTGTGACAGGAGGGGAGGGGATCCCCCTGAGCCTATGGTTTGTATGTCAAGAGAGGGCAAAACATGCAACTAGTGGGTGATTCCAGTCCCTGGGCCACTTCTTAATGTCTGCCTTTCTGAGAAGCTTGGGGAGGACAAGGGGAAAGAGAGCCGGAGGAAAGGGAACTCCGCAGTGGAAAGTGAGGCAACTTTCCTGACGGTTAAGCCTGTTCCCTAAACAAAAATTGTACCAGAGAAACTGTAGAATAAAGGCAAGCATGCACTGCACCTCCGGGTCTGAGTAGCCTCCGAAGCAGTCAGGCAGAGATAAGCGTCCATCCCCAGCCTATTGTGCTTTTCAATACCCACATCCCAACTCTTTGCCTCCCTTCCTCATTCTTTACCCCTCCCTCAAGTGTTTGTAGAGACCAAGGGGGAGAAATCCAATCCAAGAACTTAGGCCTGATTCTCCAAGGGCCTGGATGGAGTCTCAGAAACCAGAAGTGTCCACTCCTGGGCTCAGGGAATCAGAAATCTACTCACACTGCCCAACATGGGCAGTTCTGGGCTCCAGGAAATGATCTGGGAACTTACAGTGCAAAGACTAACAGACTTGAACTTGAGTCAAATCAGAAGTCCTCCAGAACGGGATTCAATGAGTAGCCCGAACACCCTGTTTCGATTGCAAAATCTGATCTAATCGGGATTCAGTGTGGCAAGCCTGCTGGGGCCAAGATTAGAGTCCTTTTGATTGCAGGCAGCAGTGGGCTATATTCTTGTACTTAAAAGTGGGCCAATTTGTGAATAGCTTTCCTATCCAGCTCCCTATGCACACCATAAGAGGGCCTAGGCTAGGACCTGAATCCTAACACATATTGCTAAAAATTGACTCTAAGGCAAAACTTGACACAGCTGTCATTTGAATTGATGTCATGCTCCCCACATTCAGCAAGCATATGGCAAAAAGGGGCAGTCAAAGGCAGTGAAACTCCTCTGGCAATTTGCAAAACTGACTTTGCTACCAGATTTTGCCACATATTTAACAAACTCAGATCACACAAAATTAGCCTTAAAGCAGTTCAGTGCTGTGACAATCTGGGATCAGTTTCTGATGTCTGAAATAACCTTAATTTCCAGTTGACATAAGCCCAGTTAACACAATTGAGGCAAATGCATTTTCCATCCTTACTTAAGTCTTCAATAGAGATTTACAGCCTTTAAAAATCATTTCCAGAAGTGCTGGATCAAGCAGCAGTAGCTGTGGCAGCTTTTTATCTAAGGCTGTTCTTTTCTATGGACAAACAAACTCATCTTCCTGTAGTATCAGCTTCCTGCTTTTAACCTTGGAGATATTACCAGGCTGAATTTGCTCCCGCTTGGCTATACTTTTTTTTTTTTTTTGCAGAATGAGTAAATAAGCCCCTGTGTAGCTGTTCTTAGAACATTGTCACCTTTACAACAGTAAGCAATGTCCCCAAAGTACAGCCAGTTACCACTTACATTTTACTTTCTCTCTCCCTCTCTCAAAAGCAAGCAACTGGGGTGCAAAACAGTCCCTCCCCCCCAATCTATGCATTTTTCAACCATGGGAGGAAAAACAGCAGCAACCATGCATTTATTAAAAAACACTGACCCAGGAAACCATTTTAAGTGCTCTAGAGAGATAAAGTCCTGGTTATTTTTTCTGACAACCTGGAGAACATTTACCTTCTCTCAGAGAGATATATGTGTGGGGTAGGAATCTTTTAAAATGTTTTCCTTTAGGGTTCATGAAGGTTATGCTAGTTGTCTAATATTTTAGGTTTAGTTGTCTAATACCTTAGGTGGGAGTTATTCAATATGGTAAAGGAAAGAATGATGTCTTCTGTCAAAGCTCTGAATGTTTTATTACTAAGAAACACAATGATATTTGCCACCACAAATACTTTTGTTTCTGTAGAAATGTTTTAGTAAGCATTAAGGGGTGTGGAATGGTATAGTATAGACCAAACTTGTTAGATCTTGGAAGCTAAGCTAAGCAGGGTCAGTACTTGGATGGGAGACCTCCAAGGAAGACTTTGCAGAGGAAGACAATGGCAAAGCACCTCTGCCTCATCACTTGCCTTGGAAACCCTTTAATGGAGCCGGCTGCAACTTGATGGCACTTTATATATACACAATAAGCAGGGGCCATTTCATAGAAAAAGAGCTAGGGGAACTCATTAGCATAACTCATTAGCATATGCCACACCCCCTGACATCAGGGGCCCGGCGGTGGACCTGCAAGGCCAGTGGGAGTGCGAGGAAGCCCCACCAAGGCCCTTCCTGGCCCCAGGCAGGCAGGGGTGGGGAGAGGCGGGGAGGAAGCAACTTACCCTACCTCTTCTCCTGCCTCCTTCTGGCTGAATGAGGGCTGGAAGCGGGGTGGCCGGAAGCAGAGGGCGGGGCTTCGTCATGTGCCCCGCCCCCCTGCACCTCACCCGGGGGAACTGCGTTCCCCCGCGTTACCCCCGAAATGACCTCTGACAATAAGCATTAAATTGACAGAAAAAGAGGATTTTCTATACTTGTTCCTTATCCCTATGCTGAGTTGCTTTACAAAGTTTCATAAAACTGACCCGTAAGTCATATGAGGCTACCATACGGGTAACAGCTATTTTTCTTTCTTGATTCCAATTGTGCCTCGGCTCTTTTCAGGTTTAATATAAATGAAAGGTGCTCCATTTCCAGACACATTGTTAAATGGACAAACATTCCAAATAGATTGGACAAAACAATAGGGCTTAAAAATCTTGCATACATGACAGATTGCTCAAAATAAATCCTGGTCATTTCCGTTCAGTAGTACCTTGTCTTGTTGTCCCCTAATGGCTTATGGTTAGAGTGCTATGAACAATTTCCCTTGTTACCAACAATATCTCTATATAAATATTTCAAGCCCCCCAGTTCATTTCAAGGAAGCAATTTTTCTTTGAAACTTGCAGATGAAGTTGGGCAAAAACTGACATCGGAATATATTTTATCTGTATAAAATCAGCACTTTTGTTCAGCAAATATCTGCCATAAACTGCAAGACAGGTTAGTGAAGTCATTAAATAGAGAGAATTATTTTTGGTGATGTTACGGTTTCATTTGTATCTGACAGATGGGATTAAAGGTAAAGATGAAGTAGGACTACAACTGGAAATATGCCAATGACTTTATTTGTACCTATAGAAAACTGCAAGAACAAAAAGTGGAACCGGGCAATTGAGGCCAAACTAAAGACTAAACTAAAGACTAAACTAAACTGGGTCCTTTCCACATTTGCCTGCCACTTTGGATTTTCTCAGTGTTCAAGGCAAGCCAATTCATGACCAAGGCAAAACAGCATCCAAATAACTCAGGAGAACAGCAGGCTGAAACCGGGCTGACCACTGAAGGGAGGTGATGAAATGCAGAATAAAAAGAAGGACCCAGAATAAAAAGAAGGCTGAACTCAATTTTAGTGCAGAATGGGGGGGGGGCTGGATTTAAAAGGTGGTTGAATTTGATTTTAGTGCATGCAGAATTGCGTGGAGGACACTTCTGTGAACATGGATTAAAAGGAGAGTGCAGGAAGGGACATGGCTAGTCCCCCCCCCCCCGTTCTTTTACAAAATGGCGTTGCAGTTGCAGTGGTTGTGAACTGCAGTACACAACCTGTGCAGGAAGGATTCAGTTTTCTTACAGTTTCTTACAGTTTTTCCACCAAAAATTGCCCACCTGGACAAGTACTTTTTGGGGAAGGGTCAGAGGAGCAAAGAAGCCCCCTCCCAACTTGTCAGTTTTCCAATGCTTCCATGGCTGAATTTTATAAAAGAAAAAAAAAGTTGGAGGGGTAGAATAAGAGGGAGGAAGGAGTCCCTTTCAACTACTGAAAAAGCTATATGGGAGATTGTGGGACCCACATGAACAGGAGCTGCACAGGGCAGAGGCTGCAGTAAGGAGGGATATAAAATGAGATCAAGAGGAAAGGCAGGTAGGTTTCAATCCCATCTTTTATAGAATGTAGGCCCCATTCACACAGAGAAGTTGCCACGCTAAAGACATGATTGTCAGGCAGATTTTCAGTGCACGATCACACCACAATATCTGGGAAGCGTCCCGCCAAAGATGTGCAGTAAAAAAGTACCGCGGAAAGTGCACTAGTATGTGAGGCAGGGGCGGTTGTCTGATCGCTAGAGCGCGAGTATCCTGTGGCATCCCGTGCCTGTCCAAGTCCCATCGCAAACCGGGTGTTTGTCATAAGTGCATGCGCACAAACACGTAACTGAAAGCAGTGCTGCTCCGCTTCTTTGCCATGCTCCAGCATCACCGTGTGATTGCCAGCTAACAGCCTAAGTGCAAAGCCTCGGGGGACTGTGTGATTGGGCTACCACAGTTTGTGATTGGGCTACCACACTGTGTGATTGGGCTACCACACTGTGTGATTGGGCTACCAAACTGTGTGATTGGGCTACCACTGAGAGCCAGTTTGGTGTAGTGGTTAAGTGCGTGGACTCTAATCTAGGAGAACCGGGTTTGATTCCCCACTCCTCCACTTGCACCTGCTGATGTGACCTTGGGTCAGTCACAAGCTCTGGCACAGCTGTCCTTGAAAAAGGGCAGTTTCTGTCAAGAGCTCTCTCAGCCCCACCCACCTCACAGGGTGTCTGTTGTGGGGAGGGGAAGGGAAAGGAGTTTGTAAGCCGCTCTGAGACTCCAAGTGAAGGGCGGGGTATAAATCTAATCTCTTCTTCTTCTTCTATTTTTCTCCGGGGCAAACAGCCACACCTCCCCCTGCGTTATCTGGCCAGTGTGACCGGGGCCGTTGAAGCCTTTAACCTTCACTGCTATAGAGATTAGCCTGGAAATGCCTGGGACATGCTTGCTAAAACTGCAGTGAGACTGAAACTGCATTCAGTACTCTGTATAGTTCCTGGGTCCCTGCCCTTGCTACTGTTTGCGGCCCCAGCACCAGCACCAAGAAGGGGGAGTGAGGCGGGCATCCATGCAAGAGTTCCTCCATCATCTCTGAACTTACTACTAACCCCATATACAGTTCACTTGGAATAATACACGCTCACACATAGATTTCTGAAAAGTGGGAAAATAGGCCACAACTTTATTGATTACAGCTATAGTATGCTTTGGCACAGCTTGGGTCCGATCCGATCCCTCGACTGGCCTCCTGCCGGTCGATAATCCGCTGTACACCTGGGGACGACTGGTCTCTGGATACCACAAGGGCAGACACCCAGAGGTGGTCTCCCCTGGCACCTGGGCGTGAGGGTAATCCCCGGCTATGCCCCCAGGCTGGGCGCTCCGCTTGCCCCTCACGCCAAAATAACCTTAGGGGATCTCCAATCTCAGGAAACGGGCATGCAAGCCAGCTTTCCTGAAAATGGATCCGACCCCATGCTGATACTGCCAAGTTGTGACAAAGAATAAATGACGTGCAAAAAAACACATGCAAAAAAACCCTTAACAAACTACACCCAATTAAACGGATGGGAGGGTGGGCCAAGTTGTCTGAAGCTGAGGAATGGCAGGCGGGATGGTTCAGCCCCTTAAATATCGGCCGCGCGCTCCTGCCCCCAGGGTGCCCAAAACTCTGCTGATAGGGCCAGCAATGGTCAGGAGAGCCCCAGTTTCCCATGTCTGGTGCTGGCCCACCCCCTCCGCCAGCCCGCCATGGACACCATCTCCCCTCCATCTTGCGGCTCCGCAAACAGGCCCCAGGTGACTCAGTGGCCCGGCTTCTTATATTTTGCATCTGATGAAAGGCCCCAAACTTCAGGAGCTTGGAGGCTCTCAAACAACAGGAGAAGCTTTCAGGCCCTGTCATTCGTCCGGTGATGGCATTGGGAACCTGACAAGGTACTTGAATGTAAAGATCTAGGGTCACAAGGAAGAAGCTATTTTTCTGGGGGTTTTGGGGGGGAAATAGTTTGTATGACTCAAGCCCAGCTCCAAAAAGGTCCTTCCAATATTGCTGCCAATTAAGCAATTCATTCAAAATGCCATCAGAACCAGAATGACCCCCACAAATATCTCAGCTGTAGAATGTAACAGAAATTCAACTACATCCAACCTACCTGATAACCAAATGTATTGTTTTGTGATCCATGACGGGGAATTCCAGGGTTTTCACATGCTGTTCGACTTGGTTCTGAGACAGAGGGGGAAAAATATGAAACAATTTTTAAATCTCTGTGTGTGTTTTAAGAGTGTGAACCTGTTTGCAACCAACTCAAACAGTATTCAGAAGTGTCAGATTTAAACTAAAGAGCCCAATCTGAATGCCTGAAATGAATTTATATTAAGTTCTGTCAACAGAACAATGGCATAAAGAAAATCTACTCAAGCAAGCCTCTTGTGGCCTTGTGTGCAGAAATCAATCCATAGGATTGAGCATTCCTCCCCAAAGTGTATCCAAGTAAAACAAAGCAGATGAATACAAATTTCAGAGGGGGAGCTATGACAAATAAGGAAGTCTTGTGGCACCATCAAGACTAACACATCGGATCTTGGAAGATAAGCAGGCTCGGTCCTGATTAGGGCTTGGATGGGAGAACACCAAGGAGGTCCAGGGTCATTAGGTGCGGGCTAGCAATGTTGGAAACCATATGGGGTTGCCATAAGTAGACAGCCACTTGACAGCACTTTACACACAGAAACTTTTGTGAGCCAGAGTCTTGTTTGTCAGATGCACATGGAGGAACTATATAGATATGGCTGCTTCAAAACACATATATGGCTCCCCCCCCATAAACCTACTTTAGGCACCATTTTGTGTCCACCTGAATCACAGAGAGATCCCCTCCCCCTTTACAGCCTTTGATCGATGGTCTCTCGTTATACACATTGGACTCAACATGTCAATATCCTACATCTGGAGGATTGGATACAAAGATCCTACTGCACGAGCAGACAGTACTTCAGTTAATGTAGAGGCTCACTGGTTGTTCACTACCTTCCAGCAACTCTGGAGATTCCCATCTGCTGACGCCAAGTTTTAGGCAGATGTAGATAGGGTATATATGGAGAAACGAGCAACCGTTCCTGCACACACAGATGTGGTACCCAGTGAAAACAGCATTAGAAATAAAAAGAGAGAAGCATGTAACAGAATATCACCAATCCCATTGTACCTATGCAACGGGGAGATGACCCACTCCAAGTACCATCTGCTTGACATATCCGAGTACTGGACCCAACCAATACATATGGAAGATTACAGCTGAAAGAGATTTCTGACTGGTATATGAAGCTCTTGCCTTCCCTTTTGCCTTGTGAAGGTACTCCTGGATCGCCACAAAACTTTGCTGTAGGGAGAGACCATATACAGAAAGCATGTTAAAAATGCCTCTGGTTCTCTGATCTCTGTGCTTCATAATGTTTGAAGAAGAACTTGTGCATGTATACTCAAACACAGCACAGGGTGTAGTACAGGGAAGGGCTCATGTTTCAGTGGTAGTTAGATCATCAGCTTGATACGCAGACAGGGTCGGCTCACCCACTAGGTGAACTAGGCATTCGCCTAGAGCACCGGGCCCTGGATAGGGCGCCAAGCTGTGCCTCCCCCCTCCTCCCCCCCTTTGGTGGCGGCGGGGGGGAGGCGGTGGTGGCAGCAGCAAAAGGGTGGCTGGCGCCAGAGGGCTCCAGGGCTCCAGGCCCCACCGGGAGGTTGGCATCTGCACCATAAGGCAGCCTCGCCTAGCGCGCAGAAACACCTTGAGCCGGCCCTGTACGCAGACAGTCCCAGGTTCAATCCCCGGCATCCACAGTTAACAGGATCATGCAAGGCCTTGGAGAGCTACTGCCAGTCTGAGCGGGCAACACTGAACTTGATGGACCAAGGGTCTGATTCTGTATAAGGCAGCTTCATGTGTGCATGGATGCATGCCAGCAGCAGCACACACTTTTCATCCTTGAATGGCCAGTATCATGTCAAGCGAATATTTGGAGGGTCCAGCATTCACTGTTCGCTGCTGCTTTGAATTCACTGTGCAACCAAACTTCCAAGAAACATTTTACAAACATTCTGCGCACAAATGAATCCTGAGTACTCTGGGAGTTGGGTTGCTTTTTAAAGGGAGAATGTGTTGAGAAATGCCATCATTCTTTCAAGTATTTCTCCCTAGCCTTTCCCCAGCTACATGCTATTGTTGGCCGCTTTGTAACTCCTGTATGAATGGGGTAACCATGGAAACTAGAGACCATGGCAATTTGCATCAGTCTTATTTCACTCCAGAATGTGGAGGTATGCCGAGAAAACATTCGTCTTGGTTGCAGGCCTGACGTTCTAGTGTCTTGTCTTTTTCCCAGCAGAAGTTTGCAGCCTGCTGTTTCCCAAAGCATCCTGACAAGTCTGAAAGCAATAATTAATAATATTTCTGTTTTATGCTAGATAGGCCAGTATTTGGGGAATGGCAGGCATACTTACTGGTTTAGGAATGAAGCTCAGCAATATGGGAGAAAAGAGCCTAGGATGAGAAACAAAAGGGCTGAAAGGCACTGATTCACAATGCTCCATGCTAAGTAGCCCTGGGAGTGCGGCCAAGTGGAGGAAATAATGTCTGACCTGACACATCCATGAATACAGCCACCGTTTCCCAGCAGCAATTGGCTTGACTGTGGCAGCTGGAAAACATGCCATTGCATCTAGACAAATTGCTACCATGCACAACCTATCAATGACTGCACCAATTAAGACATCACTTCCTTGATCTTCCCTATGACTGTATTCACAAGCTGCTCAAGTAACAACTGGGAAGTTTATGAACAGACCTCAATACAATACAGACAGAATCATGGGGAAAAGCCAACTTTATTCATTCATCCGTTCATATAAGTTATTGTATCCCCATCCTCTGGATATCTAGCAGTTAGATTCAAAAGCAAAAAAAAAAATACATTATTGTAAAGAAAATCAACTTGGAGCTTGTGTAGCACAGTGCAGTAGCTATATAATGAATATGAATTGGGGGGGGGGACACATTGATCTAAAGTTTGTGTCTGCCAAGAGTATAATAAATAGTTACTTTCTCTCTCTCGTGCAACTTCAGCCCTCTTCCCACTGTTACATGGAAATAATAAAACTGACCTCCATTGTAGGGTACTTGAAATGGTTACTGAGATAATCCTTAAAGATAGCCACTGGCTCTGTTCACATTAAACTGAGGTTTAATTATGCTAACTATGGTTATTGTGATTGTCCAAATGCAGGCCACCTATCCTGGGTGTGAAACCATGGTATGAAGTTGGCTTATTAAGTACTGTTAGGCTTAACTATGTCTTTGAGGGATGTACAAAGGCAGGCATTCTGGTTCAATCCTGGTGTGCTCCTCAGCTGTTCTCACTGTAACCAGCTGGGTATCTGTGAGGGAGGCGGGGGAAACAGTGAAGGTGAGGAAACCAGCATTTGTTGAAGCCAACCAGGATCTGAAAGATCATTGTGAGCCAAAGCCTGGTTTCACAAAGGTGGTTTCACAGAAGTGAAATAAATCATGATCAGAAAGAGCCATGCAATGTTCCCTCTAAGCTGTGGAGTCTTGCGAGCAAAATTTCTACTTTGTGAGCTACTGCAGCTACTGCATTAATTAGTTTGTTCTGGAGCCAACATTCCTGAGCTAAGACAAATATGTGTGAGCCAGAGGCTAAAAAACTGTGAGCTAGCTCACACTAACTCAGCTTAGAGGGAACACTGGAGCCATGGTATTGTAGCAAATACAGGGCTGGCTTTGGAATGGAAATATGCAAGCATAACATCCTGTACATCTTCTGACTGCACAGAAACAAATATTTTGATTAAGTCTATTTATTTAAACATTTATTAGCTGTCTTTCTTCCTTATGGAGCTCAAGGTGGCTTGCAACACAGATAAAATACATAAAATCAGGGTCCTTTTGGGGCCGGAGTGCGCCGGAGCACCGCTCTGGCAGCCCGCGTGGCGACAAGCCCCGCCCCCAGGTCCCCCGAGCGCTGCGGCTTGGGGGAGGCCTGGAGAGCCCCGCCTCCAGATCCCCCAAGCCTGCGCAGAAGTGCTGCAGCTCAGAGGAGGCCCAGAGAGCCCCGCCCCCGGGTCCCCCGAGCCCACGCAGAAGCGTGGCCACTCGGGGGAGGCCCGGAGAGCCTCGCCCCCAGGTTCCTCAAGCCCGTGAAGAAGCGCTGCGGCTCGGGGGAAGCCTGAGAGCCCCACCCCCTGGTCCCCCGAGCCAGTGCAGAAGCGCTGCCACTCGGGGGAGGCCCGGAGAGCCTCGGCCCCGGGTCCCCCGGGCCCGCAGAGAAGCGCTGTGGCTCGGGGAATGCTCAGAGAGCCCCACCACCAGCTTCCCCAACCACCGCCAAAGCGGTAAGTAAGGGATCCACAGGGGTGGGGGTCGTAGGGGCTTAATGGGGGGTGGTTGGAAACCCTTCTCTTCCTTCCTTCCTCTCTTTTCCTCCTTTCCTTCTCTCTTTCATTCCCTCCTTTCCTTCTCTCCATTTCCTCTTGAACTCTGCATCATCCACTTTTATTCCCTTAATTCTGTCATCTTGTCTGATCTTTATAGCTAAAATCTCTATTGCTAGTATGAATAATAAAGGGGTTCTCTCTCTTACTTTCCCTCCTTCTTTCCTTCTCTTTCTTTCCCTCTTTCCTTCTCTCTTCCTAACATTCCTAAATGTTAACCTAAGGAACATTTTATTTGGAACATTTGGCTGTACAACCTTAGATGAATATACAGTTGACCAGAGAGAAGTACAACTGGACATGTGATTTCACTGGAGGCTTCATTTGTATTTCTGTATTTCTTTTCCTTGCCCAGTGGTTAAACTGTGGAACAATTGATTTCTGGTCTTTATTCCATATATTGTATATGTAGAAGTGTATGTATTTTTGCAGATCAGCCAGTATGTTCTGTATGTATTAGACATCTGAGGAAGGCCTGTAAAGGCTGAAACGTGTTAGGTCTATCTTATTAGGTCTATCTTATTAGCCCTTGTACGTTTTTATAGTTTTATATGAGGTATGGATGGGGCCTTGTTTGTTATTTTAATTTATGTTGAATAAACATACATATATATTTTTGTATATTTTATGATTAGATTTTTAGAGTTGGCCCTTTCCTATTCCTGACTATCCCTACAGAGGACATTTTGTGTAATGAAATTTGACTTGATTCTGTTTATAATGTTTAAAATATTCTTAAAATATAGTTTAAATATAGTTTAAAAGAATTCATTCTGAGATTTTTACAAGGTTATGGAAATAATCTTCCAAGAAACTAATTTTTGTGATATTCAAATCTAGGCTTGCTCACAACTTTAATGCTACTAGCTTTTCCCCCACTCACAAGGTAGAATTTCTGCTCACAACACTGTGGAGCTTAGTGGGAGCATTGCATGTATGGTGTACTGAATGCAAACTAACTCCACCCTTCAAACAAAAATAAGCAAACTTGAAGTCTGATCTAGACGTTATGTGCTTATGGGAGCTTCAGTGCACAGATGGAGCACCTACATATCTACATGGGCTTCCCAATTTATTCCCAATATAAAGGAACACCTTTATATACATTGCTGCACATGCAGATCTCCTCTAAAGCTACAGTGAATATGGGAGCCAGTACCCATTGGGAAGCCATGTATGTACATGACTATCTTCAGAGCTTTGATTCAGAGTTATGACGTAAGGTTGCAGTTGACAAAGTCAACCCGGAGCAATCCCATGGATGCAAGGAGATTTGGGTTGTGGGTTGCAAGCTAAGACTGAGGTCCTATGCACGTACAATGCCACAGTGAATATGACAGGATTCACGTCTGAGTCAGCATGCACGGGATGGTGCTGGCACATGACACTGAATTCATACTAAACCTCATCAAGCTCAGTTCCATTCATACCTGCAATGCCTCTCCTATGCCAATGCATGCATAGCTCCATTTCTCATTTCCCTTTTTGGATAATCAAATCCACTGAATTCACTTTTTAAAAAGATTAGTATTTTTTTAAGAAGGGAGGGGGGGATCTATTCAAGAACCCTAGTGTAAAGAGCCAGCATACATTTGTTATTGTAATGAAATCTGCAGCCGTGAAAAATCCATCAATGTCAGCAATTTTATGATAATAAAAAAATTCTGTATAAAACAGGTAATTTAATATAATATTGGAACAAAAGTACAATTGTCAGAGAGACAGCCTGGAGTCTCTTCTGTACTCCTGGCAGGCAAAGTCATTACTGATGTCAGCACGAGTTTTGCCCGAGCAAAGAGCACAGTTTTGAGCTTCCTTCTGGTGGCATTTTTGTCACATTTGACAAACTTGCTTTCAGCTGTACAAAATATAAGATGAACACTGCCACAGGTCTTTCTTCAGTGTCTACACTGTGCTTAGAAGCTGGAAAACTCACAGCTCTCAAGAGCAAGAGTATCAAAAGGCAACATTTTATTTTTGTCTCAAAGAAATTAAGGTACAGACCTGTCCTATCAAGTCATTTCTCATTTATCCAGCGTTAGAGAGGAACAAGGAAAAGCACTACCTTCACCAATGTCATTACACACAAAAAGAGTGACTCTGTTTACCTGAAGGAAGATTGCTTCTCCCCACACACGCACATGTGCCAACCAGAAAAAGAAGGGGCCATCTTAAATTTTCAAAGAAGTTCTAGTTATGTGCAGTAATTTTTTTAATGATGTGCTGTTTAAAAGTTTTTTAAAATGGGTGTTGTTTTACATTCAGGGCAGTCTTCCTTTCCAGTAAATATAGCATTGCAGTGGTAACACCCAGGGGTCATTTCCTGCAGGAGCGCACAGGAGCGGAGCTCCGGCAGTAAAGAGCCCAGGGGGCGGGCACATGCAACAAGCCCCACCCCCTGCTCCCAGCAGCCCTCAGTCAGAGCAAGAAGCAGCCAGGTAAGTTGCAGAGCGCAGAGTTCCCTCCAGTCCCTCGGTCCAAAACAGTCCAGTGGCATCTTTAGGACCAAGTTTTATTCAGGTACAAGCTCTCCCTCCAAAGACAGATCTGCACATTCCCCCCCCCAATAGCTAGCAATCCAAAACAGTCCAGTGGAGCCTGAGCAGTGGGTGTTGCCTTCTGACACACTTCCAGTGATGTCAGGGGGTGTGGCATATGCAAATAAGTTATGCTAATGAGTTATGCTAATGAGCTCCTGCACCTTTTTTTCTACGAAATGACCCCTGGTAACATCACATAGCAGGTCTTGAAACTGTGCCCTTCCTTGGTCCCTCCCCTTCTCAGCCCAAATTCCTCCTGCTTGTCTGTCCGTCTGTCTGTCTGTCTGTCTATCATTTATCTATCTAGTACTCATACAGCTATAACCTTACGCAGAAATTAGACCCCCCCAAAATATTTTAAAAGACCTTACTCAGTATTATTTCTCATATATTTAATTACTGCACCTATGAATTTTGCCACGGAGAGGGTGACACAGTCATTTGTATCCAATAGTAGCCATGACACCTGGGCTCGCACATTTAGCAATTCTGTATCTTGAAGCCTCCTGCTTGTCCCATGAGGCTGTATCAGACTAATGTCAACTACAGAGGACAATTACCTTAGGGTTCTTTTTTGATTGGTATTTTACCAGCCAAATCGTGGCAAGATGGAACCACTGACTGGCATGAACAGCAAGTTACCACAGATACGGATAAAACATTTAACAGGGGTGAGGAACTTTGAAGAAGGTGTGCCTCTGCAACCTGCTCCTTATTTCATAACAGTAGCCAGCAGATTCTCAGTATTATGTCTTCCTCTGTGCCAGTTCAAAGGAGGGGAGGAGGTAATGAGAAGCATACACAGTGGTCCTCTGCTGCATTACTGAATATTTTTAAGAGACTTAATGGAAACACCTGTCAGAATAAAAGGAAAACATCAACGAACTACTTACGTAAACACTGAGGTACTTCGCCACTCCATGTTCCATTACCAACACAGGTCAAAACAGCAGGAAAAGATAGCTCATAGCCAGGTGAGCAGACATAGCTAATGCTAAAGCCCCAGTCAAAATTTGTTCCTTCCTGTCTTCCATTAGAGATTTGGGGTGGAGTTGGACAGGTAACAGCTGCAACAACATTTACAGTCATTAGGCACAGCAGCTGCAAATGTCCCTAGTGCCTACAGTTACTAGGTGAACCATATGCACTAATTAAACATTTCTGGAGGACAGTATAGAAGGATTTCTCCCCCCCCCCCAGTAACCATATTTACTTGCTGCTGCTTTCAGGATACACCATGCTGACTTCTCATGACCTAATATAAACTCAAATGCATCCTGCAGTGGATGGAGAAGATATAGGTTTTAAAAACCCACCAAAAACAAAACAAAACAAAAATGCATAGCTAATATATTTCACTTACATAAAAACAGACCAGTGTATTCTATAAATAGGGCACGGCACATTAAAACATTGGAAAAAAGATTTCTATTGCCATTATTAAGTTTTAAGAAAGGGTTAGAGAATGTAATTACATTGATGCTATTGGATGAATTACAGTACAATTCTGAGCAGAGTCACACCTTCCTACATCCATTGAATGGGCTTAGAAGGGTATAACTCTTGTCAGGGCTGCACTGTAAATTGTGCCAGAGCTGTATTCATGATGGAGAAATATGGTGTTTAGACAGATCAAGGCAAAGATATTGGTTTGACAGAAAGCACCATTACAGCAGAGGTGGAAGTGAACCATGAAGACTAACAGAGGATTAACAGTGCACTGCATTTCTAAACAGAATTACAGCCTTCTAAATCCATTTAAGGGAGAGAAGTTAGCATGGTACAGCCCAATCTCATCAGATCTTGAAAGTCTGTTGAAGGAGAGAAGGTGGCAGTACAGTCAATCTCGACAGATCTCTAAAGCTAAGCTGGGTTAGTATGAGGATGGGAGATCACCAAGGGCCCCTGCCACACGGCAGGGAAAACACTCGTCAAAGCGTGGCTAAATAGAGCCGCACCAAAATAGAGAGGCGCGGGTGGGATCCCACGGATCTCGTGCACCACGCACCGTTGCTCCCCGGCACAATCAGATGCTGGGGAGGAAGAGTCGGGGGGAGGCTGTCGAACTGTGCATGCTCGAGCATGCGCAGTTCGGCCGGGGGCCGGGACGCGCCGGCGATCTCAGCCCGGATTGAAGCGCTCTACACTAGGTAGGTGGTTCTTTTTAGTGCAGGTTTTCGGGCGGGAGGGACGGATCGGGGATGGGCAGGCAACACTTCCCAGATGTTGCCGTGGGATCGCACCCGTTTGCTCCGCCTCCGATCCGTCCCACTCCCGGCCCCAAACCCCTAGTGTGAACAGGGCCAAGGAAGACTCTGCATAGCGAGGCAACAGAAACTCTGCTTAATCACTTGATGATGATTTTATGTGGATTTTAATTGTTATTTATGTATCAAACTGTGTAAGCTACCCTGAGCCTGGTCTTGTGGGGAGGGCGGGGTATAAATTAATTAATTAATTAATTAAATAATCTTGAGAACCCCTTGCTGGGGTCACCGTAAAGTGGTTCCAACTTGATAGGACGTATATATGTAACTCCATTTAAGTCAATGGCCTAAGAATGGTAGAAATTTTTTTAGGATTGCACTGTAATTTATTTTAGAGATATGTCTGTTTAGGCAGATGTTGGGGAAAATAGATGCAAGAGGCATGAGGATAACCATCTTCTAGCTCAAGGGAAAATACTCCTATAGCATGGTGCACCTTAAAGTCTGCTCTATTAGGGAAAGGGTTTTTGAGTGCTTGGATGAGTAGTAAAGATGACAGTGATACTGAGCTTTGCTACATAGCTAATGATCAGGAGACAGTAGTGGTTATACTTAGTTTACGAGTAAAAAAGGCAGGAAGTAGAAAGCAAAGAAAACAATGGAATGTGAGTTAACATGAACAAAGGGAAATGGAGAAAATAGCAAGGATGAAGGGAGGGAGAGAGAATAGGGGCCATGTATAAACCCAAGAAGGAGCAGCTGCTTATCCTGGCTTTCTTACAATCATAATTTAAGACTGTTTAGATCTGTTCCAATCTGGGTTTTAGCCTGGTTATGGGACTATAACAGCCTTGGTAGCCCCGGTAGATAACCTGTACTGGGAAGAGGGACAGAGGGACTACAATTCTGTTGATTCTCCTGGACCTCTCAGCAGCTTTCAATACCATCAGTCATGGTATCCTTTTTGGGCTGGGATTGGGAGGCACTGTTTTGTGATGATCCTACCTGGAGGGTAGGTTTCAGAAGGTAAAGTTGGGGGACTGGTGCTCAGTTCCTTTGGCCTGTGGGGATCCACAAGGCTCCATGTTGTCCACTATGCTCTAGCCTTTTAACATCTACATGAATCTTCTTGATGAGGTCAACTGGAGATGTGGGCTGGGTTGAAACCAATGTGCAGATGATAGCTTTATCTCATGCTTCCAGCCAATCCCAGAGAGGCTGCAGAAACCATGAACCAGTGCCTGGAGGCATTTTTGTAATGAGTGCAGGCTAATAAACAGAAGCTTAATCCCAACAAGACAGTAGTGTTACTGGCGAGTAGAAGGACTTACCCAGCATTTAAGGTGTCACTCATTCTAGATGAGGTTGTACTCTACTTGAAGGAGCATGTCTGTAGTTTGGGGGTACTCTTGGACCCAGGTCTATTGCTGGATAAGCAGGTGATGGCTGTGGCCAGAAGTGCCTTTTATTCACTTCAACCAGTTAGTTAGCAGAAAAGATTTGGCCACTGTGGTGCATGCCCCAGTTACCATCTAGGTTAGTACAGAATGCTGCAGCTAGGATGTTTACTAGAGTGGGTCACAGGTGAAAAGTACTGGGTTTGATACATCAGGATGCAGACCACAACATCAGAGAAGATGCGCTTATTCGTACTTAACACATGGAACAAAAACTAACGGCCAGGTGGCCAACTTTATACAATTGGGGAGGGACGCCCCTAGGTTCTATTGGCGGGTTTGAACTTCTTGCCAATGTCCCTATTGGCTCCTTAATTGCAGTTCAGGAGCCTAGTCCCTATTGTCTTAGGGATTGAAGCTTTAGCTGCCTCTGGCTGGCACCTGGCAGTGGTCTGAGGACATAACAACAGGGACCATTTCACTCCTGTTGTGGTCTGTCTAAAATGGTTCCCAATCTAGTTTCAGGCATAATTCAAAGTGCTGGTGCTGACCTTCAAAACCCTATATGGCTTAGGACCAACATGTATGAAGGTCTCCCTACTTCCTTATGAACCCATTCAATCATGACAGTCATCTTCCAAGGCCCTGTTTTGGGCACCCCCACCTTCTGAGATTCTGCAGATGGCTGTTCAGGAGAGGGCCTTCTCAGTTATGGCACCAAAACTCTAGAGCCCTCTCCTCGCGAAGGCTTGTATTTTGCCTTTCTGCCAGCAGGTGAAGACTTCTTTGTTCTGTTGGGTGTTCCCTGAGCGAACTCTTCCTCTTGCCCAACGTTTTAACTGATGTTTTTATGTTGTTGTATGTGTATTTTAGCTTTAATTGTTTAAACATTTTTGGGGGTTTTAATAGTTTTAAAGAGTGATTTTATTCTTAATGTTTTTATTTTGTTAGCCACCTTGGTGGGCCTTATGAAGGAAGAAAGGTGAGATATAAATTTTGTAAAAAAACAAAACAAAAAAACATGCCTATCTCCTCCTGTAAGAACCTCCCCAAAAATTAAGCAGCCCAAGAGGCTCTGCTTCAGCCTTCAAGTTACAGAGCAATCCTAAGCAGAGTTAAGCTTTTTAAAAATCCATTGAAACTCCCTGCTTAGGATTTCATGATTAGGGATACACTACATGGAATGTGGGGAATCTATGATAAGGATCTCCTTTTTTAAATGCTAAAAACAGTCATGGGAGGAGAAGGAAAGAGCGATCTAGATCATGGCCGTGGGTCTACCCCATGCTGCTTGTCTCATGATTTACTTTTATGGAAGCTGTATTAGTTCCTATATAGGGCAAACGGCTTAGGGGAAATTAAATCATGGAAATGGCACAGGGACAAAGGTTTACCCTCTACCCTTGAACAGTGTCTATGACTCAGAAACTCACTTATTTTGAGCACAGGCAAAAAAATGACCTGAACAAAGTATGGCCATTTTAATAGAGCTTTGAAATGTCCTTTCATAGACTGTGAATTTAGCTGTCTTCTAATACTGCTCCACAAACTGGATAAAATGTTTGTATTTTATTGTAACTCCTTTGTGAGTTGGTCCCTTATCATTTGTATCAAGTTGCTGTCTCTGATAAACGGCTTGTTTTCTACTGAAGTTTAGTTTTTTACATTATTTTAATGCTTTGTAATTGCTTACTGTACTTACTGCATATCATTTTGGAAGCACTTACTTCTAAGTAATACAGGACTTTTGTATATAAAAAAGGTGATAAATGCACTTCAAATATTTTTCCCATGTTATTTTAGGTAGATCTTAAGTATACGTATAAAAAGAAAAGTAATGTGTGAAGGGCCCCAACAAGACGCCAATGCCGTTCTATGCAGTCTTATACCCTTCTAAGCTTGTTGATCTAAATGGACCTAGAAAGGACTGGATAGCACTGGAAGACTATATCAGAAACAAGCAGGAAAGAATGAATTATGATAATCATAACAGAATTCAGCAGCAAAAGAGTTGGAGTCAATCAAGAGGGGGAGCCGTATGCACCCCACCCATACTCTTTGACTCTGGCTCATTTCCCTTACAGTGCTCTTAATTCATTATTTCATTAATTTATAAAAATGAACATAAAGTGTGTGAGGGTATAGAAGAACAAAAGCTTTTATGAGGAGACTCTCTTAATAACATTTTAATCTGTCTACTGGCTATGTTTCAATTAGATGAAGTCAGAGGGCAAAATACTAAAAAAAGCACAGAATACTAAAAAGGCACAGTAAAGGACCCACTAGATGTCAGAGGGAGATCCATGTGTGTATCCACACATCTACCTATTGATGTGAAAAGTGGAGGGGGTCGGTGGGGGGTCTCTCATGTCTCAGCACACAGGTGAAGAGAGTTAAGCTCTGTCATCTGCGCCTCATTGTTTTGTGTTACCTTCAACACTTTTCTTCCAGCCCAGCTTATTTCTATTATCGAACTTGCCTAGGAGCAAAGTGCTTCAGAAAATAGCGCAAGTGCAACATTTTTTCCACCACTTAAGCGGAACAGCATTTACAGAAATGATATGCAAATTATACATAATTGAAACATGCCAATTATGTGCAGTCACTGCTTAGGGTAAATTGTCCAGGTCCTAAAAAAGAAATAACCTTACCCACGATTTCTAAGTCTGCTGTTACTCGTCCATATGGAAATGAGTATAAATAGCAACAGTTGTAAGGCAACATTTTGAGAAACATAAAACAACTACAGCAGCCTTCAGAAGTGACCCATTGAAGTGAACATGCCTTCCTCATGTCTTATCCTGATGATCCCCTGATATAACAAAGGGGTGATGTCTTGCTAAACTTTCCAGCATAACATGCAGAATCCCACCATACCCCGGGGATGTCCCTAGAATGATGCCGGGCTCTCTGTCCTATGTGTCTGACTGTGAAAAATGGTATTTTCTATGTACGTTTCCACGCCAGAGTCCAGCAGCATACAAGCCTGGGTTTAGGGCAGATAAGAATTGTCCCCTGACTGTGACTATACTTCTATATTTTATCTGGTTTTCTATGTACCTTTCCACGCCAGAGTCCAGCAGCATGCAAGCCTGGGTTTAGTGCAGATAAGAATTGTCCCGACTGTGACTATACTTCTATATTTTATCTGCTCTCAGGTGAGGGTGAAGAGGCTCATTTATTTCTGGATTGGGCCAGTAACCCACTAGAAAACTGTGGACTATGAACCTACTCGGTAAAGCTTCCATCTATACTAGGAGTTATGGTTCCGGGTGGGATACTGGTGGGGATACAATGGCAACTCCTTCCAACCTTACTCACTAGCCATTACAGCAAATCACCAGGAGCTCCCAAACCTCTTATTTTTCAAACAGCTTGGGGAAAGGGGAAAACAACAACAACAACCAACCAACAGATGGGATTGTCAAGTGCTGAACAGGCTACAGTACAATAAATGTATTATGCTGGTCTGCTAGAGAAAATACACTATAAAAGCATGGAAAATCTAAAATTGTACCTTTACATGTAGGGAGCATTCCACTCCATGTGCCATTAGTGGTGCAAGTCCGAAATCTGGAGCTGTTGGATTCCATTGTGTACCCTGGCTGGCACATATATGTAACGTTTTGTCCCACAACAAAATCATCACCATATCTTAGGCCATTGGCTGGGACACCTGGATCCCCACAACTGATTACTACAAAGAAAAAACATTGACAGACATGATGGTAGCCCATCAATACTATTACGGAAAAAAATATGGTAAAATTTGTTATTGATTACACAAATATTTCCATCCTCAGAAAGCAAACACCACGTAGAATATAAAATGTGTATACTATTTATTTGTAAAAAAAATATCTATAATTCCTTAAACATCTTGTATTACCATATCGGTTACACTTTTATATTTAACAGAAAAGATAACTAAGGCTGCGGTCACATGGAGCATTAGGCACGCTAGAGAGACAAAAGATAGGCGGATTTTCTGAGCACAATCTCACCGCCACATCTGGGAAGCGTAGAGCTCCCATGGCGAACCCGAGGCTTCCCGCCGAAGACGGGCAGTTAAAAACTAGTACCTCGGAGGTACTAGTTTCCGGTAACCGCGGGGCAAGGACGGGCGTCTGATCGCGTTTCCGGTGGTAGTTCCGGTGCCCACCCATGCCCCCTCGTATAAAGGTGTTTTTTCCCCCAACTGTCCATGGGATGCGCACAAGCACCCAACGGGGCATGCACACACTTTGGTGTCCGGAAAACAAAACACCCGTTTGCCGCGTCGCTTCTTTGCCACAGTGCAGGATTGTGGTGTACTTGGCACCTCCCCCCTACCATGGGACCTCCACGGTACGTCTGCTGGCGCAACTGCGCATTATTTTGCCCTGGGGCAAACAGCCACGCCTCCCCCCGCGATATCCAGCCCATGTGACCGGGGCCTAAGTTTTCTATATAACTGTAAACATTCATGAAGAATGTTTCTCAGTTGGCTTTCTGTTTTGCATGGGGGGGGGACTGTAACCCAATGCTTTAAATGGGTTTCTTCTGTGGCAGACATTATGTGATGGGGATGGTTAAATGTAAAATTTTATTTGAAAAGAGGCTGACGTGCACATTTAAAACATGTGCATATGGCAGCCTGAACATCAGTTAGGAAAATAATATGATTACTTGCCCCTCACTTCTGCTACTCATGCCTCGTAAACCACTATAAGATCACTGTGCCAATGGAATTATATACTGGTAGATGAAATGTACCAAAGCACAGATGCATAAACCTGCCAATTTTCATTTCTTGAATGATCAAGGAATTTTTTCATCCCTCTTTTACATGTTTTCCCCCCAGTCCATTTGGTTTCCACTGAATTTTTGACTGCTGATTTACATTTGTTTTATGCCTTTCATGTTTATTGCTTTTCCAGTTTGACGTGCACATTTAAAACATATGTCAGGCTCGACATCAGTTAGGAAAATAATGTGATGACGTGCCCCTCCCTTCTGCTACTCATGCCTCTTAAACCACTATAAGATCACTGTGCCAATGGAATTATACACTGGTAGAAGAAATGTACCAAAGCACAGATGCATAAACCTGCCAATTTTCATTTCTTGAATGATCAAGGAATTTTTCCATCCCTCTTTTACATGTTTTCCCCCCAGTCCATTTGGTTTCCACTGAATTTTTGACTGCTGATTTACATTTGTTTTATGCCTTTCATGTTTATTACTTTTCCAGTTGATTGTAATATGTCCTGATTGGGGAAAAAACACATCAACAGTTGCATAACTTATAATTAAGAAACCGGGTTAAAAAAAAAATCGAACCTGTCTGCAAAGTACTTTCCTTTAACCCAACATTTCCAAATTGCGGAATGTAGCCTGGAGCTCTCATCTAAATTGCTTTGGCAACTTAATCATTGAAAATTCATGTATAAACCAACTAACCAACTGCAGCAACTATTGAGACATTGCAATAATTTCTCACGCAAGTAAAGTGATGCTCAAAATCTTACAACAAAGACTGTTACCATATATGGAATGAGAAATGCCTGACATTCAAGCTGGATTTAGAAAAGGAAGAGGCACGAGATATCATATTACAAATTTATGTTGGTTACTGGAGCATACGAGAGAATTTCAGAAGAAAATCAGCTTGTTTTTCATATGTTATAGCAAAGCTTTTGACTGTGTATCAGTGTTCCCTCTAAGCAGAATTAGTGTGACCTAGCTCACAGTTTTTTAGCCTCTGGCTCACACATTTTTGTCTTAGCTCAGGAAGGATGGCTCCAGAACAAACTAATTTATGCAGTACGCAAATCTGTCACTCACAACTTTAATGCCAGTAGCTCACAGTGTAGAATTTTTGCTCACAAGACTGCACAGCTTAGAGGGAGCATTGGTGTAGATCATTAAAAACTACTGTTGGTTTTAAAAGAAATGGGTGTGTCAAAACATCTGACTGTTTCAATGTACAACCTGTACTCCAAACAAGAGGTTACTGTTATGACAGAATATGCACAATGTATCATAAGGAAAGCTGGATTAGATTTAAACAAACGTAGAGTGAAAATTGATAGAAGGAACATTAACAATTTGAGATACACAGATGACACTACAGAAAATAATGAAGACTTGAAATGAGTGCTGCTGAAGTTTAAAGCAGAAAGTGCCAAAACAGCTGAACATCAAGAAGACAAACGTAATGACTAATGGAGAATTACACCATTTCAAGGCTGACAGTGAAGAAATTGAAATTGTCCAAGATTTTCTATTCCTCAGCTCCATCATCAACCAAAAAGGAGACTGCAACCAAGAAATCAGAAGGAGACTAAGAACAGCAGCCATGAAGAAGCTAGAAAAGATTCTTAAGTGTAGAGATGTGTCATTGGTGACCAAGACCAAGTTAATTCATGCCATGGTATTCCCCATTACTATGCATAGGTGTCAAAGCCGGACAATGAAGAAAGCTAACAGGAAGAAATTTGATTTATTTGAAATGTGGTGTTGGAGGAGAGTTTTGCAGATACTATGGATTGCCAAAGGGACAAATAAGTGGGTTTTCACCCAAGAAGCTAAAATGACTAAACTGAGGCTATCGTACCTTGGTCACCTTATGAGAAGATGAGAGTCACTGGGAAAGACAATCATTCTAGGAAAAGATGAAGGCAGCAGGAAAAGAGGAAGCCCTAAGATGAGATGGATTGACTCAATCAAGGAAGCCACAGCCCTCATTTTGCAAGACTCAAGCAAGGCTGTTAACAACAGGACAATTTGGAGAATGTTAATTCGTAGAAGCAACTTGGCACTTAACACACACACACACCTAACTAACTACATAACTAACTGACTGAGACAGAGGCAATACCTTGGCAAGAAAGAAGGGGTGTTCTTCCTTGTGTGTTTGAAGAAAACAGATTCATTTCCCTTACTCTTTTCCTCCACATTTTTTTAAAAAAATCATTATTATTTTTGTTTCGATTTTGTATTAATTTTCTCATATTTCTGTCATCATATAACAACAAAAGACCATGATGGAAATTTTATAACAACCCTCATCCTTGTTGACTGCTGCCGCTTAGTTTCTTATAAAATAAAATGTGTTCAATCAAAACTTACTTGTACAATTGGGTAAGGAACCAGACCATGTTCCATTGGCAGTACACTGTCTTACAGAAGAGCCAGACAGAATATAGCCTTCCATGCAGGAATAGATTACAGAACTAGCAAACGTTGTGCCATCTATCCGAAAAACCTTCCCATTCGCAGTTGTTCCAGGGTTACCACACTGCACAGCTAGAAAGTCAAATATAGAAATATAGGAAATTCAGTGAAGTATGATTTTAAAAGTTACAGAACCAAATTCCAAATGATATTCCCATGAATATTGGTTTGGGCAGAACCTGATGACATGGCCAAGTAATATGAAAAATCCACCTGAGAAGTATCACTTGTCTTATTGTAGCTCTGGGGTTTCCTTTACTAGTCTAGATCTTTCACCTGAGAAGGAGCCTTAAAATTTATTTATCTTATACCAAAAATATACCTAGTGCCAAATTCTATTCACAAGCAAACAGTTACTTGTGATTGGTGATCCTGCTTTAGTGGATATTTGTAAATGCAGCCCACAGCTTATTATTAGAATTCATGTATCCCCCCCGCCCTTCCAATAGTAATTTTATTTCATGAGACCATGGCCAGTTTGAAATGTTCCACCTTCAGTGCCCAGCATGATATTTATGTCACAACAATCCAGATCCTTTCTTTTATTTATTTTCTTTATTACAGTTCAATATTGTCCCAAGTCATCTGAGGTTATTTAAGGATATTGCCTTCTCTTTCTGCTAGTGTCACTCTCCAACTGAGTTATAACCAAGGTGCACACCAAAGCTTTTAGTAATGACTGTGTTGGCATGGACCAATGATTCTCATCCTTTCCAGACTTGGTGCCTTGACCTGGATAGACCAGGACAGCCCAATCTCGCCAAATCTGGGAAGCTAGGTAGGTTTGACCCTGGCTAGTATTTGGATGGGAGACCTCCAAGGAAATGACATGGTCATGACCCAGAGGCAGTCAATGGCAAACCACCTCTGAATGTCTCTTGCCTTGAAAACCCCACAGGGTCACCATGAGTCAGTTGTGACTTGATGGAACTTTCCACCACCACCAGACTTGGTATCCCCCTTTAACCCCTAAGTGGCAACATGTGTCCCTGAAAGAAAATGATGTCACAATCATATGAGAGGGAGGGAGTGATCCAGAATTATGACGTCCTGATGTCAAAACTAGGACAATGGTCAGCACAGCAAAACAACTGAAGGCAGGGAAATGAAAGCCAACTAGCAGGAGGTACACTTGTTGGAGGCCCTTTCTGCAGTCTCCTTTTAATCCATGTTCACCACAGTGTCCTCCAAGCAATTTGGCACTAAAATTGAATTCAACCTTCTTTTTAATCCAGGATTTCCCCCCCCCCCTCATTCTGTACTAAATTGAGTTCAACCTTCTTTTTATTCCGGACTTTCCCCCCATTCTGCATTTCATTACCTCCCTGCAATGGTCAGCCTGGTTTTAGCCTGCTGCTGCCCTGGGGTTATTTGGATGTTGTTTTGCTGTGGAGTTAAAATGCTTTTACTTGAACACTGAGAAAATCTGGGGTGATTTCCCACAAGCGCTCCTCCCTTTTGCCCCGATGGTACGTGTCAATTTCACACAAGCTGCTGCACGGCCGCATTTTGCCCCGCAGCTTTGTGCGATTTTCCCCGCGTCTACTCCATTCTCAAAAAACAGGATTGAGTAGACCCAGGGAAAATCGCACGAGGCTGCGAGGCAAAATGCGGTCGTGCAGCAGCTTGTGTGAAATTGACATGTACCATCGGGCCAAAGAGAAGAGTGAGCAAGGAGGAGCGCTTGTGGGAAATCACCCCTGGAGTGGCAGGCAAATGCGAAAAGACCAGTGTAGTGAGGAACAAGCCAACAGTTAGAGCTCTGGACTTATCCTGTTTATTGCTGAGTAAACTTTGGCTTGGGAAATTTCTGGAGCTCTAGGGATGGTAACTGAGGAAGACAGAGTTTGGCAGGGTTGTAACATAGAGTCCACTCTCTGAAACTGTCATTTTCTGTAAGGGAACTGATCTATGCAATCTGGAGATCCTTTGTAATTCTGGTAAAACTCCAGACCCCACCTGGTGGTAGACAACTCTACCTTGCCCCATTAACCTATTGCTGCTCCTTAACCATCATGCAAACAAAAAGTAGAAGTTGTGGTATGTTTGCAGATGCAGAGGTCCTTTCAAAAAACAGCCCCCCAAAAGTGGTTCTAATAGGGCTTGAGACACAGCAGATGGTGTCTGCAGTGAACTTGAGTGTCCTGATTAGGGGTACTGCATTCAGCATAAATTAAGCCAGTAAGGTATTTTTCGGGTATCATTTAAGACTAATACAGATCAAAGAATCTGATTGGCTATCGGTATATTCAGGTATACCACTGGGCTCCTCTTACAGCTTGGTTTAAAGTGAGCTGCAAGAGGAGACTGCCCAGGATTGGCTGGGGCGGTGGGAGCCACAAGAGGAGCCAGCCCCAGTCAGGGTAGTATGGAGCTCTCAGCTCCAGCTGATTCTGGGCTGGCTCCTCTTGCAGCTCAATTCTCGAGTCAATAGTTCCCATAGCGTATAATGGAACTGAAAAATTCCAGTTTCCCAGATATAAAATATGAGAAAAGAGGCTCTCAAATTGTCTTTTGTATTCAAGAAGCTTTTCTCTCATGAGGAAGATGTTGGGAATTATTTCTTATTTGTTATTAAACAGGAGTAAACAAATTATTTTCCATAAATATCATACAGCATCCTGCTTTTATCACAATGTATTGTGCTTCACATCATTTGTTGAAGGTAACTACATTGGACAAATTTCAGACATTTCATTCTATGCTCATTGTTTTGCTGTGTGAACTGTTCTGTTTCATATTCTTGTACATATTCAAAATATGTTCTAATCTCCTCAGTGTATATCTGATGCATACTCTCCCCTCCCAACACCTAATGAAAATTATAATAATGCCATTCTAGACTTTCTGATTCAGAATTTAAATTATAATTTTGCAAGTGCACACCCCTAGCATGCATAGGGGTTCCAAATGCATGCCTAATCCTTAAAAGAAATAATTGACTGAATTTCAACCCTTTAAAGGAGGGAGAGGAAAAGAACCATGCGAACAGCATAATCCACTCTTGAAAACAATCTGATCAGCTGCATTATGGAGGGAGGGACTTGCAACATTCATCCACATAGTTATTTCAGTGTCCATGAACTGGTGCAATGACACTGCAATACTTAGGGTTAGGATAGGCCCTCTGGGCTATGCAAATAACAGAATAGGTTTTGGGTTTCTCTAAAATGATATGGTTATTGATTAGCATTTTGGCCAGCAAAGTCTGTTGTAAATGAATTACCTTTACATTCTGGTTGCCTTCCTGTCCAACTTCCATTTGCTAGACATGTCCTTTCCTCTGATCCATGAAGAATGTAACCAAGCTCACAAGAGAATTGCACAGCACTTTTAATTCTAAAATTGCTTTCTTCTCTTGAACCATGACCTGGGGTTCCTGGATCACCACAAGATCCTGCATTATCACCTAGAATTTATGGTACAGAGATTATTTCAGAGAACATAAAAAATTGGGCAGATTACACTGATGTATGTTAATGTAGTACCAGAAACTGAGTGCATATACAACCATAAATGATATAATGTTACGAGACAGTTTTGTAATCAATGCAAAATTAAAATGCACTTTGAAAAAGCACACAGAAACTCTACATATTTATTTTCTTTTGAACTTGAAATGAGTAGCATCTAATTACATCCCACAGAAGTATGAAGAGGGTTAATAAAGAATACTATAATGAAGAATACCAGGTTTCAATCAGAACATATAGCTAGTATCTGTTCTCTTTTTGTAGCTCATACCAATTAAAAGAATATAAAATTCAGAATTTACTTTTTTCCCAGCACACTGTGGTACTTCTAATTCTCCACTTAGTCAGGAGTTGAACTAGACTAGATAGAAGTAACATCAATATTCTGCAGAATAGTTAATATCCAATCCTTTATAATAAATCAATCTATATTGCCCAGAGTAAAACATGTTATTAAAAATACAGAAACAAGGGACGTATTATAATATTGGATATATACCATTCATCGAGATGACTCATGTGATTTGCTGAAAATGTTAAAAAGGTGAATAAATCCCAGACACACCAGCCACCCTGAACTAAAAGAACATTTCTTCCATTCCTCTAATTAGGTTCTGAATGTGGTCAACATCCCATAACACTGCCCACTAATCAAAGGAGATTTCCTTTGCTCTTCAGCAAATGTGTTTATACTGGTCAATATCTGACCATTTTTAAAACCCCAGTTTGGAGACCCAAATATAATGAAGAGATAGTAGACTGAGGTCCCGGTCACATGGCGAATTTGCCGCGGGAGAGTCACGGGTGGTGGGCAGATTATCGGGGTGCGATCACACTGCAACATCTGGCAAGTGGAGCACACCCGTGGCTAACCCGTGGCCAACTGCTAAAAAAGCACAATAAAAACAGTACCTCGTATGTAGTGGCAAACGGTACGTGAGTCAAGGGCAGGCATGACACCTGTGGTGTGATCATGCCGGCCCCTTGTTAATGCACAGGTGGGGAGGACAGGACCCGTGGTTTGCCACTGATGCGTCGGATCGCGTTCTGGTGGCTCTAATTGCACCGGCGCAATTAGCCACGCCTCCCCCCTGCGTTATCCGGCCCGTGTGACCGGGGCCCAAGATGGTTTTGTGATCTCTGACTACTCCCTTGTAATCCCAGGGAAGAGCCATGGTCCTATTGTTACTTATTCACAAAAGTAAAGGATCTGCTTACATGGCTACTCTTTATATTGAAATGTAACCACCACACGATCTACTGCTCTTCAGTTTTCATGCGTGGTTGGCATAACTACTACTAACAGTTTCAAATACCCAGAATTAAACTTTGTTGTTCTTAAAGGTGCCACTGGACTCAAACTTTGTTCTGTTGCTTCAGACCAACACGGGTACCTACCTGAATTTATTTTCATGGAAGGCACCACTTTAAGCCCTGGCACAGCTGTTCCTGAAAGGGCAGTTTGTGTCAGAGTTCTCTCAGCCCCACCCACCTCGCAGGGTGTCTGTTGTGGGGAGGGGAAGGGAAAGGAGTTTGTAAGCCGCTCTGAGACTCCAAGTGAAGGGCGGGGTATAAATCCAATCTCTTCTTCTTCTTCTTCTTCTACCCAAAATTAAATTTTGTTGGTCTTAAAGGGCTCTCCTTCTTTGGATGTTTTCAAACAGAGGCTAGATGATCATCTGACAGCAATGCTGATTGTGTGAACTTAGTCATACCATGAGAGGGAGGACAGAAAGGGTTGCCTCAGTGCTTAGTTCTTGTGGGCCTTTCTTACATGCCCAGGGAAATACTGATTGCCACTTTGGGGTCAGGAAGCAATTTTTCTCCAGGCCGGTTTGGCCGGGGATCCTGGAGGTTTTTTTGTCATCTTCTGGGCATGGAACAGCGGTCACTGGGGGTGTGGAGGGGGAGGTATTTGTGAATTCCCTGCATTGTGCAGGGGATTGGACTAGATGACCCTGGAGGTCCCTTCCAACTCTATGATTCTATGATTAAGGTGCCACTGAACTCAAACTTTGTTATGAAACTGTGGTATTGAGAATGCTGATCAGCTTGTGCCTCCCTCCCCAGATTCTACCCCATCTGTCTGTACAAATCCCTTCTTCCCTTGTCCATGTTGACAATGATGTGGCATTATGTTTACACCAGCATTAACTATAGTAATACCAAACAGAGTTAAATTTAAATCAGAGATTAAAAACATGTTCTGCAGATGTCTCACAAAACCTAGTTTCCTATTGCATGGAGATCATTTGATAAAAATGTGGAGTATAAATCTCAAAAAAGAAATGATAATAATAAACATGTCATTTACAGGAGGGATGGAAGCAGACCAGTCCATGGGCCATTCCCAATCTCATAAAGATGATTCCGAGATCATCACAGGGGCACAGCTTCTTTCGGTTCAAAAAAGCTGTACATTGCTACTTTTCTTTCAACACTCCCCCCACAATCTTATGGTCTGCTTCTCTCAACCACCAGACTGACCTCCCCCCACACACCAAATAATGCAGCAGGATCCTATTGGCCTATATTCCTAGAGAACATAAAAAGAAGGAGGGGCAGGTTTGTGTGGATACTGTAACATTGCCAGTACTGGAACTTCAATAATAGCCAAATTGGCTCAGTTATGGAGCCAGGAGGAGGTCTGAGTGTAGGGGTCAAGAAGGCTATTGTCTGCTGTGGGGTCTCTGAAGCAGTTATCAGTCATTTTAGACTACAAAAGCACGTTAGAAAAGGCTTTCCACTAGTGTTTTTTTTAAATGAACAGATTTATGTCTGTCTTTTTGTAACTGTGGTGTAGATGAAAGCACACAAAGGAAGTATCTCACAAGGAAGACATGACTGATGCTTTTCAGTGGCACAAAATCTATAATTCACTTTTAGTGCAATAAAAGGAATGACCCCAGTAGGCTAGTTTCAAATTAACTCACCAAACATTCCAGCCAAAACACCTATTACAAGTTTGAACCTCAAAATTCCTAAACATGCAGAAGGTTGATTCTGTTTACTATTCTCCAAGTTTGGAAAATCAGTGGATCATATTTTTTTTGAGGGGAAGGGGGACCATATATGTTTGGGTAGTGTTCAGGATGTCAAATGTTTCTTAGATCTCATTCAGTTGAGAGTTACTGTCCCCTACTCACATTTTTGTGATGGCTTTTAAAGAAGCTGGAGAAACTGGCTCAAGACTACTAATTTTGTAATGACCAAATGGGCAGATATGAGCCTGATAGACAAATCTACAGAATTTTGAGCTGTTTTCCTAACAAATGTGTCAAAATCTCTGTTTGTCCTATTTGAATATTAGAAAAATACCCATAATTACTATGAGTGCACTGCACATGTGGAGTAAGGACACACGAAATCATCTCTGTGCCCAGTGGTCAGAGACTGATTGCCCTTCTCTGATGCACTTCACATTTCTCCTTGGGAATGAGTGGCACTATTCACTTGGAGGGGGGGGAACAAAACAATCATTTCAGGGACACCACTGGGATGAGGGTGTGTTGTTATGGTTCAGTAGTAGAAATCTGCTTTGTGTGTGGAACGTCCCAGATTCAGGAACAGGTAGAAGATGATGTGAAAGATGTTTGTCTGAAACCCTGGACAGCTGCTGCCAGTCAGAGTAGACAATCCTGACCTTGATAGGCCATTGGTTGGACTCATTGGACGTGTTCAGACATTATAGTGAATGCATATACAACTTGCCTGTAAGAATGCACATGCATCTATTTGTAAGAAAGACCCAACACACGTTCACTTTAAGAAGGAAACAGGACCAGCACCTGCATAAATGTGGCATTAGTATCATATGTTCAGCTGTACACACATTGACTGTAACATGAGAATTATTCAACCCACATACAAAGAACTGCCAAGTGTATACTATACATGGATTGCACATGTGTTCACTGTGACTTGTGAACAGGGTATGATAGGGCAGCTCCATGTGCTCATGAGGGTTATGGTTTTTCCTTGTCTTTCGTGGCCCAAGACACTGGGAATCATTAAGAATACTGTCCTATTTATACTCTGACATTGTTCGTAGCTTTCTGGTAGTTTGTATACTTTGCAGTGTTTTAGTGTTTTGTTTTGTTGATGATGGTGATTTTGTTGAATTATAAATGTTTAAAATGTTAATTTTTTTTTAAAGGATCCTATCCGCATAGTCCTATCTTTCCATTTGCATACTCCCATCTGGTGTTATGTTTCTGGTTCACTGGTTTGTGTTGCAAAGTGGCACAGATAAACTTTACACAAACGCTTTATTATAGCCGGCATAAGGATCAATTTTGTTTTGTGAATGCTGCACCTTTAAAAGTGAATCAGTGATGAAATAGTTTCAAAATGACCCTGAAAGCCTCTTTCTACTAAATGCATTTCCTTTATAGAAAATAAGATATCTGGGATGTTGCTGAGAATGAACTTATAACACATATTACATTGTGTAGGGTGACTAAATCAAAACAGTAATTCTGCATGTTAAACAAAACTAAGTCAAGAGAAGGAAATCATGATGCAGAAACACCCCATATGGAATTCAGCTTCCTTCTCAGTAATATGTAAACAGCATTAAAATAAATATTCATCACCAACTGGTCAGCTGTCCTATCTTACTCTGTGTCTGTTTTTCATTTTTAATATTATTAGAAAGATTTCCCAAATTGGCGTTTCTTGCAGGCATAAAGTGGAACTTCGCTTTGGCTGTAGCTAAATATCTTTTATAAAATCATTTATACCCCATCCTTCTCCCCAGAGGGACCTCATTATCCTGTCCTCCATATTACCCTCACAACAACCCTGTGAGGTAGATGAGGTTGAGTCAGCATGACTGGCCCAAAGTCACCCAACAAGTTTCCATGGAACAAGTGGCGATTCAAATCTTGGTCTCCCAGATACTAGTCCAACGCTCTTAATCACTACACCACACTGGCTCTCAAATATACAATTAATAAATTAAAATATATATATAAGTTTTATATAAATATATACATTTTAAATATTTGGGGTTTAATTTTCAGTTTCCTAAAAAGCCAGTTCCAGCCAACACTAATATAAGCTTAGAATTGCATTCAAAAGCACATTCACATACTTCAAAAGTGGTACCTGAGCAATGAGGCATAGATCCACTCCAGTGTCCATTCAACTGGCATGTCCGAGATGCTGGTCCAATTAGTGATCGTCTTCCCGTACAGGAGTAACGAACAGTGGAACCAAATGTGTATTTTTCTCCAGACAGGATTGCATTGGGAGGAATGCCAGGATGACCACAGTCAATCACTACGATACATAAATATTGGAGATAAAAATTACGTTATAATCTAAATTCTTCCATTTGTCATCACCATTGTATTCTGCATTCTTTACCTGACATTAAAAAATTTACTTACACTATGGCCCTCTTACCTGGCTTACCTGAGCTGAAATTTAACAAGTGATTGTTGATTACATGTGCATATTCATGTTTGCATGTATATGTATTAGCACATGACTATCCTGCCTGGGCTATAGTGGGAGTGCCAGGAAAACAGAGATGTCAGAAAGCGTGATATAAATATTTCAAAGTCTTCATTTCTCAGTTTTTTATGCCTCATTTCATGGAACTGCTTCTGAAGCACTTCCTAGTGTGATTATGGAAAAATTATCAGAACCGATTCCTTTCAAGTCATGTGCAATCACTAATAGACATTCTGTTATGTCACCCTACTTCCTTTTCTCTTCCAGATGAAATTTTGGACAATGTTGAGAAAACTGAGAAATGTTAGTAAATAAGACTTAATTTAAGGCAGCATTCACAAGAGCCTGATTCATCAGTTTGGTTATTATGGGTTCACTATGCTGCTAAAATATAGCTGTCTTAAATGTTTATAACACTGCATTGACAATCAATATTGTGTAAATCACTGGCTCTCATCCCAATTAGTTTTACAATTAATCCACTTTTTCAACGACTGGGATTTTGCAATTCCTAAAAAATGGACAATCTTCTGAACTACGCTGGAAAACATGGTAGTTGTCCTCAAATGTACAAGATCAACAAGCATGAACAAAGCATCTTTTAGTTACTGTACAATGAATGACTCCTGTCATCCTCTACATTATCTTTTCAAGGAGTGAACTTCCATACCCGTATTTTAGAAATGAACCAGTCACTTTAATGGATTTTAGATATTGATCATTTTACAACAAATCTGCAACAAATCAAAATAGTTTACAAAGTATACATTGAATAGAGGATTCTGCCACTGCAATAAGTGAACCTATGTGATACTTGGATTTGCAAAGATGTATTGGTAACATTCACATATTACATTGCCCACTGATCCCTGAAATGAGGATGCCACACACAATCTTGGATTACTCCAGGTTTTATTAATTAGCTGATATGCACACTGGGCTGGAACCAGATAGGTTTTAACCATTGAAGCCCTCCCCTCAATGAGGAGTCCCTTCCCAAACCCCTCCGGCATGAGAGACTGACTTAGGAAACTCCACCCCACCATCCTTGTGTGATGGCGCAGCATCCCAGCACTCTGTGTGATGTCATCATATTGGGGCAGCCCCTCCGCCTCCCTTTTAAATTTATCAGGAAAATATGACCTGAGAACCCTACCCTACCGATACTACGGGGAGAGCATCCATCAAGGAGGGGCCCCTATAAATGGCTGGTTGTATGGGTTCAAGGCTGAAAGTGCTGGAAGCCCATCCAGCCACTATGTCTGCACTGGCTACCTTCAATAAAGTCCGACCAGACTGCTAATTCCTTGCCATGGTGGGGCGGGTGCGATGGAGGGTGTGTGGGAGGGACAGGGACATCAAAAACACAGAGAAGGCACAGTCATGCACCACACAGTGATGAAGTGCCATGCTGACTGACTCTCTTGGGTAGAGGGTCAGCCAGAGTAAAGCACCCTGGCAAGATTGTGCACCAACTCGAAGACACCATGGGCAGTTTCACCAGTCCATCTGATGGTGTGGGAGGTGACTCAAGGGGCCCTCTGTGGGCTTGTAGAACACATTTAAAGGGATCATCCCTTTAAAAGCCAAGCAAAAGGATTCAGCAATCCCATACGGATATTGGGATTTGGGAATACTGAGAAATTCTGATATTTTTCAGGTTCAATATACCCGAACGCCCCAAATACTAATTTTTTTGAGGCACATTCCTACTTGTAATTATGCTACATACTACTTTATAACTAATTCAATGCACACACAGAGTCAGATTCCACACAAAAGTCTGTTAAAAAAAATTAAAAGGATACCATATTTTGAATCACTTTCTGATGGCGGGAGGTGAACTGGTAATTTGTAGTAGGCAGGAAAAATAACTTCTGATTCCTTACAGACTAATGGATGTACTGTGGTATGTGTTTTCACATAATTCTTTATCAGATTCATAATGTACACAGTGAAGTTGGTGTGTGTAAATGCAGTGTATGTTCTCAGAGAGAGGTTGGTTAGTTGACACAATGAGATTTAATATGTGGGTGAACATAGAATATATCAGGCAGACACTCAATCTGCATTCGTGCCAGCCCTCCTCAGACAATTACTGATGCTAAAGCGACAACTATCATAGCTAAGGTATTTCAAATTGGTACCATAGTTGTGAACAAATCATGCAGTCAGAGTTTTATGTTTTGGATCCTGCCTTCGTCAACGGAGGCTGATATAATATAAGGATGGTGAACCAATATTTCTCAACTTCTAAGGCAAATTTAACAGCCTCCCAGAATTTCCCATGGGATACAAAGCCAGAGTTATGCCCAAAGAGAGAGTTCCTTATTCCTGCTAAATGAAAAGAACAACTGCTAAACTGGACCCCAGTGGAATGCTATTCAATCTTTTAGAAAAGGAATAGTTCACACTCTTCTCCAAGGGTGGAAAGACAAATAGATAAACTCCACCAATCTCCTCCAGCTAGAAAAGGGAAAACATAGAAGGCCAGATCAGTATGAGGGAACAAAACTGAGAAGTGGAGAAGAAGAAGGAACTGGCCAGCACTCAGGATTGACTGTGTTATACCTGCTTACATTGTTGGGCTTTAAAAACATTAAAGAACTTGAGTCTACATACTAATCGGCTCCAGGGACACTGTACTCCCTACATGGAAATGGAGCATTAGACTCTGGGAAAGGTTATGCACTCCAGCCAACTGAGGGGGTGAGCCAGGTATCTGAGGCCTATTTCCATTTGCTCCGCTTCCCCTGTAGTGGGTATTTTCTGTGGTAGCTCCCCACCCATTTCTTCAAAGAGAATATGGGATTAGAAGAGGAGGAGATTGGATTTATACCTCGCTCTTCACTACCCGAAGGAGTCTCAGAGCAACTTACAATCTCCTTTCCCTTCTCCTCCCCACAACAGACACCCTGTGAGGAAGGTGGAGCTGAGAGAACTCTTTCGAGAACTGCTTGTGCGAGAACAGCTCTGAAGGAACTTGTGACTGACCCAAGGTCACACCAGCAACTGTATGCAGAGGAGTGGGGAATCAAACCCGGTCCTCCCAGATTAGATCAGAGGATCAGCTGGGAGTCGAGTTCTGATTCCCCCCTCCACTTCCCCCAACAAAATACCTATATGGTGAAACTGCAAAAGGAAAAGGAGAAGGAACACTGTTAAGGGGCAGGCAAATTTCTTTTTTCTGAAATTCACTTTTGTAGATATAGTTATTGATTCCTCTTATTCTCTTTCTTCTCCTCCAAGAGAGATTTATCTTTCACTCTTCATTATAGAGAAGTCAGTGACCTTTTTGTAACTTCAACCCTTCAGTTGTTTTATGTTACATACCAGAAAGTGGTGCTATAGCAAGAGGATAGGGAAATTTAGGAAAGCATTGCCTGCCTCTGGGCATCTACAGAGTGAAATTCTGGCATTCTGCAGAATTTCTCTTCCTGCCCTTCCTCTCTTTGAATATCTCTTTGATGAAAATGGCACTGGTTAGAAACTGACTCCAAATTCTTAAAAGGAGGGAAAGAAATGGGTTGTTGGATTTGGGTAAAGAGGAACTGGGTAAAGAGGGATTGAAATGATATGTTTCAGCAATATCATCTCATTCTGACTGTGCAAGAGACACTTCTAGTCACACAAGATTTCCAGTGGTTTCCCCCTTCCCACTGCGGATCTCATCCAGTTCCTATGGGTCCACCAACCCACCATGCTCAGAGCAGAATTTTGGGTGACATGGAAGGTTGCAATCAGATGGAGAAGATGGGAAAGTTATGTTCCCTAAGCACTAATAGTAGATAAGATACAACACATAGTCTTTAGAAGTAACAATAAGGGCTGTTTGTAAAGAGGCATTATAAATATCACATAAAGATGAAAAGGGGGGTAACCAGCTAGCCAAGACATATCACTATTGTGTATACTAGTTAAAATAATATAGCAATACAAGGGTTGGATCCACCAAGCCTTTTCATTCAACCTCACCTAATTCCCTTCTTTACTCCATCCCCCATGGCTTTTTAAGTCATCAAGTCATAGCCCATTTATTGAGACAACAGCAAGAGGCTTTCAAGGCAAGTAAGAAGCAGAGGTGGTTTGCCATTGGCCTTCCTCTGCAGAGTCTTCCTTGGTGGTCTCCTTTCAAAGAATTGGCCCTGTTTACTCTGAGATCTGATGAACTTGGTCTATACCATGCCACCTTCCCTTCCTTTGTACCCATGCAGGTCCCATAATCCCCAAAAGAGCCTTTTTGGTGGCCAAAGGGGACCCCCTCCTCCCTTCTGTATAAGTAGAAAAGCTGGATGGATCCAACCCAAAGTATTTGGTAGCACAAATATTATTATGGTCAAAATAAGAGAAAGGTATTCAACTGGTACCAGTTCTTCTCTATTAAAATGCATTTAAGCCTTATAATACATTTAAACATATTTTCTCTATGGAGGAGGTACACCTGTGATACATAAACATTTTCCAAAGAATATTTTCCATAACACAGATTGTGTGGCCTTAGTGAAGACACAGAAGGGTCAGTGATCGCAATGAGGATATTAGATTATTTCATTATAATTGATGGGGAGGAATGCCCTGTGATGGAGGGAGCAGGAAGGCGAGTGATCTGAAATATGACAGATTTTTGACACAGCTAGCCCTTCTGTGTGCATGTGTGGAGACATAACCCAGTGTAGGTCACTGCATGGAATGATCAAACACAATCATTTTGCTGCCTGTACAAGACACGAAAAATTATGCACAGCTGTCCTGCTTATTTTAACAAGCAAATATGTATTCTGTACTCATGTACACATTTCTAAAATACTTACTAATGCATTCTGGCAAAGGTTTATCCCAGTGACCATTTGGCTGGCAGACTAAAACTGAAGATCCAAATAAAAAATATCCAGGATTGCAGTCATAAAAAACAACAGTGCCATAGGTAAAATTTCCATGCTCAATTTTACTTTCTCGTATGGAATTTGCAGGAATTCCTGGATCAGTACAGTTGACCACTGCAAAAGAAAAGTATAGATGACATAAGAGTATTCATATATCAAACCCTGAGACTTTTCCACTTTCAGAAAGGATTTTTGACTTCTTTTTTTAAAACTTTATTTTACTGGCAGTGCAATCCTAAACTATGTTACAGCCTTCTAAATCCATTAACAGGTTTGGGATTGCCCTATGAACGATTTGATAATTATGCACATGAGAGTAAGTGGGAAGGTCATTCTGACAATAAAAAAAATAAAAATCCAGTGATGGGTAACTGTATGAATGATTGTAACAGCTTATTAGGAATGTGATTTTTTGACCTTTAATTTTTAGTTTTGTTTGTTTTACTTTTATTCAGCATTACATTTGTTAGATTTCATGATTAGACATGTTTTTCAATGGGGCATTCCAAAAAAAAAGAAAAAAATGTATATACTAAATAGGAGAGCATCATAATGACTCCAAAATCTCGTATAGGCATCATCTCAGTAAAAGGGGAAACTTGAGAGGTCATCTACTGCAGCTTATACAGAATCAAGACAGCCATCCCTGAACCACTGAGCCAGCAATGATTGATAGGGACATTGTAGAAAGAAAAGGTATCAGCACAATTCTCTTCTATTGCAGAGTTTTTTTGACTTTGAGGAATGGGAAGTTGTAATGACAGTTTCATATTTCTTGGCTCGGTCCCACTCTCTCTTATCTTATCAATCTCTCTAAACCAGACTGCTGAGTTCCAGGGAACTGACTGAAAGAAATCAAATTCATTCATTTGCTGATATTCCCATTCATTTTTGTTACTGTAATGATTTTAACAAATTTGGCCTTTTGAGTTGATCCCCCCCACTCATTTGGAAATGAGCACACACACTTATGGTTTATTCATCCTTTGTAATGAGGGGAATTCCATGTGATGAAACTGAACGTGTCTGGGTTTTCTTTCTGGAATTAATAAAGCTGTCTATCGACTGTCTCTTCAATCACAGCACTCATACTGATTATCATTGTACCTATTGTTTTACTGCTTTTCTATACCATATACATGTAAGTGGCATATAGGAAAGAAGAGAATGAGCTCTTATTTTGTTCAAAGAGTCTGGAAGAGAAGAATGGCAATAAGACATAGGTGACACAATCTATGGGTGGGGATCCACTGCAAGGAGCTTACAAGAGCCGTGCCGATATCACTTTTCTCTCTCCTGGTAGTCTTTTCTGATTCTGGCAAAGTTTACTCTCAGGACTGGGGGTCAGAGGTCATTTCAGGGGGGATCGCGGGGGATTGCAGTTCCCCCGGGTGAGGTACGGGGCGGGGCACATGACAAAGCCCCGCCCCCTGCTTCCGGCCGCCCCGCTTCCGGCCCTCATTCAGCCAGGAGGAGGCAGGAGAAGAGGGAGGGCAAGTTGCTTCCTCCCTGCCTCTCCCCACCCCTGCCTGCCTGGGGCCAGGGAGGGCCTTCGCGGGGCTTCCTTGCACTCCTGCCGGCTTTGCAGGTCCACTGCTCGGCAGTGGAGCTGCAAGGCCAGCGGCGGCGGCCGGGACCGTTGGGGGCGGGGTGTGTGGCCTTACGACACACGTCCAGTGATGTCAGGGGGTGTGGCCTTATGACACACTTCCGGTGATGTCAGGCGGTGTGGCATATGCTAATGAGTTATGCTAATGAGTTTCTCTAGGTCTTTTTCTATGAAACGACCCCTGCTGGGGGTCCCATGTGGACTAATAGCTGCACAGGTTGGGAGCCTGTGTCGGGAAGGAGGCAAAATCACTTCCTCTTTGGTCAGCAAAGCTCCACCCATTCAAGAGGCAGGAAGGAATTATTTTACTCTCTTCCTCCTCCTCACAGCAGCTTCCTAACCTGCATGAGGGTTCTGTGCCCCCAAGAATAAACCCAGGGCTGGAAATGGCTCCTGAGAGGGTGGAAAGCTGGGAGGCTTGGGGTCCATCAGCATCTTCCGCTGGTTTTCATAGAATCCACCTCTATGCGTATTTCATACTGGACTAGTAGACCATCAACAAAATTAAATTATGACCAATTTTAATATATAAGGACAGTATTTGAATGTGTTTTCTACCCGTAAGATTAAAAGCAGGCATTGGCACTCAAAAATATGGAATTAGTATATGGACTAGATATTGAGTAGAATATGTACAGGTGGTTTTGATTTGGGGGGAGTAGATCATTTTAGCCATACACTTTGAAAAATGACAATAAACCAGACAATGTAGAGCAATGTATAAAGACATGATAGAAACAAAAACTAAAATACTAGATAAAAGAGAAATTATGCCAAATAGTGACTTACACGCAGCCTTTAGTGCAGAATTTTTTGCAGTCATTTGAGCAATTTTTTTCATTATGAATGTTTCTGTGTTTTTTCCTGTCACTGTGACAGGAACCTACTACAGGGTTCAAGAACAACTTGCAAGCTTGCAGATATTTAAAAGTTTTCCTGTTTTTAACAGGCTTGATTAATTTTAAGGTTAATCAGTATAAATGTCATAGTCCCAAAGAGAAGAATTAGATCTGTTACCCCACCGGGGGGCAGGGGGATGATTTGATTCTATCAGTTTTGGTGTTCAAAGCTAACTTTTACAATACAGTTTAAAATGTCATGGCTGCTTAACTTTTTCAAAAGCAAGTGAATCAGTACATACCTTGGGCCTCTGACCCTTATAATAATAATACTTAGAACAATATATTTTAGTGCCTAGTGCACAGAGGTGATTAATCACAAAACGGCAAGATTCTAAGTGAACCTCACATATTTAATAGGCGTAAGAATCCAACACCGTAAGGTAATTTTTTTTCAAATGCTTGCCAAGTCAGCTGTAGTTCCAAGTGAAAAGCATAATTTCAAACAGAAGACCGAATACATTGTGCGAAACAATTAAAATACAATATGTTTTTATATTCTATACTGTCTTTAAAATCTACCACAGACTATACATAGTCCCTGTTGGAAGTAAACATATAATCTATAAACACTTAATTCATTAGAATTAAAAGAGCATGTATTACTAGCCCAAAGTACTTCACAAAACAGGAATTCTTGGACCAGGTTTCTCCACCTTCTGAATCTGGAGACCTCAGCACTGCAGGTAGCTCTCTGACAGTTTTTTTTTTCCAGGTTCAAGGGGATGTTGTAATAAGGGGTGGTAGGAGAGTCCTGGTACCCCACTGCAACTCTGCCTGTAGCTTTCAGATCTAAGCCATTATTTTTGAAAAGCAGAAAAGTTTCAGTTTTCAAAGACCTGTTGCCCCACCCTACCCAGATGCTTTTTAAAACAGTACCTAGGACACATATTAACTGCATGGTATCCAATTTGCTATTTCTTCTTTATCTGTAGCAAACTTTCCTTTAGAACATAAGAACATAAGAGATTCCAATGTTGGATCAGGCCAAAGGCCCATCCAGTCCAACACTCTGTATCACACAGTGGCCAGAAATACCAGTGCCATCAGGAGGTCCACCAGTGGGGCCAGGACATTAGAAGCCCTCCTACTGTTGACCCCCCCCCAGCACCAAGAAGACAGAGAATCACTTGCCCCAGAGCCCCTATCTATACCTTGTGGCTAATAGCCACTGATGGACCTCTGCTCCATATGCTTATCTAATTCCCTTTTGAGGCCGTCCATGCTTGTAGCCACCACCACTTCCTGTGGCAGTGAATTCCAAGTGTTAATCACTCTTTGGGTGAAGAAGTACTTCCTTTTATCTGTTCTAACCCGACTGCCCAGCAATTTCATGGAGTGCCCACGAGTTCTTGTATTGTGAGAAAGGGAGAAAAGTACCTCTTTCTCTACCTGCTCTTTCCCATGCATAATCTTATAAACCTCAATCATGTCACCCCTCAGTCGTCGTTTCTCCAAGCTAAAGAGCCCTAAGCGCCTTAACCTTTCCTCATAGGGAAAGTGTTCCACCCTTTTATCATTCGAGTTGCCCTTTTCTGCACTTTCCGGCAGATCAGTTCTTACCTTTACATATCGGTGGTGGATGGCTCCACTGCCTGTTTGCTTGACACTGGGCTTTTGTTGGTCCTTGCATGACATAGCCAGTGTTGCAAGAGAATGTCACAACGTCATTGAAGTTGAAACCATTCCCACTTGTTCGTCCATAAATTGGACTACCGGGATGACCACAGCTAACAGCTAACATCAGAAACAAGCACGAGAGGAAGAGTATTGTTATCACTTTTCACTGTACTGAAAAATTAAGTGTTTTTGTTTTTTTGTGGTGCAATAAAGATATCCTCGCCTCATCTCGGGTTGGAACAGATTTATGACCATATGCTGGAAAGTAAGGGATGCTAAAGGAAGTTAAACCCATTGTTTATGCCAGCAATAGCTCTCACATCATTTTTGTAGAGGCTCAAGATCTTCAGAGGTTGCACTAGGGCTGGCAAACAAAACAAATGTGGGGCTGCACTCCAGGGCCTTCCCTTGCCTTTCCTCTTAGGACTGGTCTATGGCTGTCAGATGGTGGCATACAGTTTAACAATTGAGAAGTAAGGGAAAAGAACTGGTGAACTAGATACAACCCATGTGTCTTATTTTAACTCATTTTGGTGCTTTGAGCATGAAGCAGTTCTCATCAACTTTCAGTTATAGTACTTCTCGTTCACTTCTGTGAGAAACAGATAAATGACTCAACCATGCTTCCACAGAACCAAATAAATTGCTGTGATTTCTCTTCTGAGTTCTTCATGATAATCTTTTTTCCAGATTCCTCAAAACCTCAGGTCTCATGGCTCACATGTTCCAGAGTACACAGAGTCTAGGGCCCCACCCTGTGTTAAAGTTAGATGTGAGTGTGTGTTTTATTCAGTTTTCATGTGCACAGTGCCAAATTTGGATCAGGGCCATGACCTGGAGAAGGAGCTTCAGCCTTACCCCATTTTCCAAATCAGAAACAGTTGGGGGCGGGGCTGCAATTTGGCCCATCGAGGAAGCCCACGTGTACATGCATGCCCCAGTCCTGATCCAAATTGGGCACCGTGTGCATGAGAACTGAGGAGAACCCACAGAACACCTCTGTTATACAGGGTAGGGACTAGATGACCCTAGAGGTTCCTTCCAGCTCTATGATTCTATCCAATCTATGTACTCCATATCATGTGAACTGGATTATGTGATGGAACTGAGGGAGGGATTTCTAGGGGACTTAAAGGAATTTAAAAAAATCGGAGTCCCACTTTTCCTTTTGCATTAATATCTGGGTTAATAGTTGGTGTGCATAATCCTGAATAGGCTTTATTTATTTATTGGAGGACAATGTCTTCAAAATAAAACAGTTTTCTAAAGTAACTGAGACAAACTATTGCTGGTTTCATCCCCCAGTACAATATAAAGGTTAGGTAGAATAGGGAGAGGATTTTTAAAATTGATTTTTAAAAATCATTATCTATGCTAATCTACTGCAACATGCAGTTTCCTGAAAAACAGCCTTTAGTATACAGAATAATAAACTGCTCACTTTAACTCTACCCTTTTACCAAATTAGAAGAAACAGAACATGCATCGTGCAAACCTCTGCCATCCTTACTTACGCACACAGGCTGGAAGTTGACCAGACCAGTTGTGATCTTGCTGGCATATTCGTACAGATGAACCAATCAGTCGAAAGCCAGGATTGCACTGGTACACAACGGTGTCTCTGTACCCATAATTTTCTCCAATTACTTGACCATTGACTATAAGATCTGGAATACCACAATGGCCCGCTAAAATAAGGTAAAAAATAATAATGATAGTTTAAAATGTATACAAGTTGACGTTTTAACTTGATAAACATTGGCCTTTTATTACATTCAGATTTCATCATCATTCCAAGAAGATCAGGGCAGAATGTATGTTGTGTTCAGTGAAAAAGTTGGACAATAATAGAGCAAATAGAATTGTCCTCACAACCTTGCAAGGTGTGTCGAGATGAAAGATTGTGTCTGACTCAATGCCACCCAGTGATCTTCTTGACTGTGCTGGGATTTTAAGCCAGGCCTCTTCAGTCCAAGGTGAACATTCAATCCACTACACCAGATCTCCTATAATTTCTTTGAAACATCTTCCTTGAATAAGAACAGTGAAGCTCAATGTGGCAGAGTGGTTAGGGTGCTGGATTTGGATCAGCAGGTTCCACTAAGACAATATGCTCATTAACCATGGGCTAGGTCCACTCTCAGCCTAATCTAATCTCTTATATTTGTTTTGAGGATGAAATGGGAAAATCTTTCTGTACCCCATCTTGAGCACTTCCGACGAAGACTGAGCTACCAAAAAATTATTGTAATCAAGCATTCAATTAAGCTCAATCACTGTTAAAATGCTACCTTTCCAGCTGATCAGGGTTGCCAACCTCCAGGTAGTATTGCAAAAAACACAAAGAAGCTGCCACACAGAGCGCTGCAAAATGTAAATATATTAACACATACAGATGTCACAGTATATCAAAGTAGATAAATATTGGCTGCGGTCACACGCAACATTAGCCACGCAAGAGATACGGAAGACAAGCGGAGTTTCCGGTCGCGATCTCACCAGCACATCTGGGAAGCGTAGCGCTTCCGTGGCACAACTGAGGCTTCCTGCCGAAAAAGCGCAGCAAAAAACTAGTACCTTGGAGGTACTAGTTTCCAGAAACTGCGGGGCAAGGGCGGGCGTCTGATCGTGTTTCCGGTGGCATCCGGCGCCCGCCCATGTCCCCTTGCGGAAAAGGGTTTTTTTTCCCCCAAGTCTCCGTGGATGCGCACACGCACCCAACGGAGCATGCGCATTCGTAGTGTACACAAAAAAAGAAAACCAGTTCGCCGCGCCGTGCGCTTCTTCATTGCGCGCAGGCGTGTGTTGTGATCGGCACCTCTCCCTACCCACGGAAGCTCCACAGTACCTCCACAGAACCTCCACAGTAGGTCTGATCGCTTTACTGCATGTTAGTTTGCCCCGGGGCAAACAGCCACACTTCTCCTCTGCAGTTTCCTGCCCGTGTGACAGGGGCCATTGTTAAAAGAGTCAGTTAAACAAAATTTGCGTCCTCCAATTATTCATTCATTATGGATTGCAATCATTCAGAGAAATATATTCAAGATGGTCCTCACCCATTACACTTAGTAACTCTCAAGGACAGGCATGCTGACAGAGGTAGTAAAGTCATCCTTGGGAGTTTCTAAGTGTAACAGATGAGGACCATCTTGAATACATTTCTCTGAATGATTGCAATCCATAATGAATGAATAATTGTAGAACACAAATTTTGTTCACCTGACTACATTCAGAAGAAGTACAGTACAAAACGGAAGCATACTCCGGGGAATTTTGTCAACGTCTTCTTATGATTCTTGGAAAAGGACTCTGAACAACATTTATCTACTTTGATATACTGTGACATTTGTATGTGTTAATATATTTACACTTTGCAGTGCTCTCTGTGGTACCTTCTTTGTGTTTTTTGCAACAGATTCTTGTAGCTGTAACCTCCAGGTAGTAGCTAGAGATCTCCTGCTATTATAACTGATCTCCAGGCAGCAGATATCAGTTCACCTGGAGAAAATGGTCACTTTGGAAATTGGACTCTATGGTATTATGCCCCAAACACCACCCTCCTCATGCTCCACCCCCAAAACCACCAGGTATTTCCCAATCCAGAGTTGGTAACCCTACAGCTGATACATATGACAAATTACAAAGTTGGTACCAGCTGACTTATATTTAAGGCACATCTGCACAGCTTGTGAATCCCAGGCAAACAGAAGCCACTAGCCATGTAAAATGGCTAATTAGGGAATCAGTAAAACTCCTAGCACTTGCCTGGCACTAGAATTTTAAAAAGGTTGTTAAACACCTGGTGGGCTATAATGCTTACCTGGTGGATTGGACTCTTGTACAGTTTTCTGGGTCACAACTTGTACTGGTCTCATTTAAATACAAATCTTGTAAAATACTTTTCTGTCCCTTGTGGTATAAAGCCTCAGTATTATGGATAGGGAAGCATATGACCTTCAAACATATTTATTCGCTAAGATGTACTTGGAATAAACCCAGTGTGGGGTTTTGGCCATTCAAAAGTAAAAGTCATTGTGGGTTCAAGGAGGGTATAAGGAGAGGCACTGGAAGGAATGATCACACACACCTGTCTCCTGTCCCGCAAACCGTGGTGGAGGTAAGTCTCAGCCATGTTTAATGTTATTTCAGAGGATTTCCCACTACCTGGTTTTGGGAAACCACAGATTCAGTCCTCTATGAAACTCTCACATGTAAAACAATCACATATTCTCTCGTTCTATGTAAGAGGATATCCTAATGAATGGAGAATGTGTGGATTCTCCATTTGAAGACAAGATCTGGCCTATGAGAGTGAAAATTTTGGGCATTTATGAAAGGAAGTGGTTGTTGTGAACACTTCCATTTACAATGATTTGCATTACCAAGGAAACCATTCTATCTCTCTGCATGTCTTGGGGAATGGCTTCCTCATGATGTATAATGCGTTGAAAAAGGAAATGCAGAAGGATTTTAAACAATGCAATAATAGAATGATTACAGATAACTGCTAAGTGTTTATTGCATAACCATTCCAGCATGGCTTGTTCCCTTGGATTTCTGTGTCTTGGAACGGATTCCCCTCCACGCCCTTTTGACTTTTCTTTCTAAGATGTCTGTGATGAAAAGAATATCAAAGTGCCAATATGACATTGTCAGGAATATGAGTGCACCAGCTACAGTAAAGCATGGCTGCACACCACACGTTTTATGGGCCCGTCTGTTCTTAATGGTCTTTCAGTGCTTCCATTTTAAACTCTAATTTTCAGAGGTCTCTGGGCCAGCTGGGAAAAAAATGATTCTTTTCCTAAAGCTTAAATCCATTCTACCCGGACATTTTAAAAGTTACAAAACTATTGTTCAGTTTGAACTATAGTTGCTCTTGATCATTTCTTTGTAGACCAATTCCGCTTTCCACATGCCTTCTCACAAAAGAAATTTCTCTGGGATTTTACTTTATATGACAAAAATATTTCTACAGTACAGGAAAAAAGAACAAATTATTTTATTCAGTAATATGGAGACTGCACATACCAAATCACTTTTTTTTGTTATAAACATGCCACTTTGAATAACTAAAGTTAGCATCCAGAATGATGCCAAAAGAGCAGATCTATTCTTTCTATTCACTTCACAATTCAGACCAGAAACTTCCTTTCTATCCAGCTGATTTTTAGTGCCTAAGCAATTGGTCTGACCTAAAAATGTCTGGTGGCTCAAAGCCTGCTTCAGTTGGATGACGGGTGGGCAAATCTAGCATCTGGGGTAGACATTTTTAAAGACAGTCATAAGAAATGCAGTTTCTCAGAAGTATTTCAAAAGCTTTTTTTCTGGGTAATAATGTACCATGCTTGCAATCAAGACTGACAAATGCACAGCATCTCTCATATTTTTATCCCAAGCTTTGCTTTGGGGAGGTAAGGGTATACAATTTCCCCTCCCCTGTTTCATCCTGACAGCCACATTGTGAAACACTTCAGGCTGAACGGGGGGGGGGGGGGGAGAACCTGAGCCCAAGAGTATGCTGAGCTTCATGGGATTTAAACCCAGGTCTCCCCAGTCCAAGTCCTTACCACACTAGATCGGTATCCTAAATATCATGACTAAACACTCATTTGGTAATTAATGAAGTAATGACCCCAGACTTTTTACACCCTTCAAGCTATTACCTAGTCACAACAATCATTCAGCTATATTTGAGTCCAGTAGAACCTTAGGTATCTGATAATGGAAGCATTGACTCTCGAAAGCTTATACCCCCAAAATCTTGTTGGCCCCTAAGGTGCTACTGGACTCACATCAAGCTGTTCTACTGTAGACCAACACAACTACCCTCTGAAATCTTTCAAGCACCTTATGAGTTAGGCAGAAAGTAATCTAGTTTACTGCAAGTAGTGTAGTTTTCTTTCAACAGACATGACCATCATAACAAAAAGGATAACATTTTGTTAGTATCTGCCATAAGGTAATATCTGTAATAAGGAAAATTTAGAATAATTTCATGGAATGTTGCAGGGTGGTTTTGTTGTTTAACTAACTCACCAGATAACCCTTTCCTTCATCAGAAATGTGATATTTTAGCAATTCAAGAGACATGGACAGACCAAGAAATTACCCTACAAGATTTTAATACTTACTTGTTGAAAGCTAAAGGAGGAAAGGGCCCGGGAAGGTTGGTAGGTGGTCTGGCAATATTAATCTCAGCCTCTCTGGAGTTTAAATGTATAGAGAGACCCCCCTTAACGCAAGACAATAGTTCTGCATAGTAAAACAAATAGTCTGATTTTAATAAATGTCTATATTCCTCCCCTTTCACTAAAAGTCCAATTAGATGAATCTTGAAGCTCCCTAGAGAGTTATAGATCTGAACTGGGCACTACAGGCCGTGGCTGGGTGGCTCAGACTGAGCCGGCTGAAACTAAACCCAGCGAAGACGGAGATCCTGTGCCTGAGTCAGAGCAGACTGGGTTTGGAGCTCCCTCTCCCGACCTTCGATGGGGCACCGTTGGTGCCAGGGTCGGAGGTTAGGAGTTTGG